TCAGCCCTGGCTGGTGTGGCTCAGTGGATGGAACGCCGGCCTGCGAACCAACAGGTCGCTGGTTCGATTCCCAGTCAGGGCACGTGCCTGGCTCACAGGCCAGGTCCCCCATTGGGGGCGTGCAAGAAGCAGCCAATCCACACCGATATTTCTCTCCCTCTCCTTCTCTTCATCTAAAATTAATTAATTAATTAACAGAAACAATAATCATGCAGCAAAGAGATTTCTCTGAACTGAAAAGAAGAAGTCTATAGGCTGACTGGTTTTGTGACTTTCAGACAGGAGTGCCAAGAAAAAGAATCCCCATCCCCGCACGTCCTTGCTTCCTGAGGATCCCCAGGGAAACGCAGAAGCGGAGAATGGAGTGGGAAGGGTAGCAGGACAACAGACCAACAGGGGGAGAAACAGAGAGGCGACAGCAGCCGCACTGAGGGAAAAAGGAAAACTACAGGTCACGTACAGCGCGTGTCAGTTGCTGAACTAAATGTGAACAAATTGAACTAGACCCTGCATATAAAAAATACACTTTACCTGGCTGGCGTAGCTCAGTGGATTGAGCACGGGCTTTGAACCAAAGCATCGCAGGTTCGATTCCCAGTCAGGGCACATGCCTGGGTTGCAGGCCACGGACCCCAGCGACCGCTCATTGATGTTTCTCTCTCTCTCTCTTTCTCCCTCCCTTCCCTCTCTAAAAATGAATAAATAAAATATTTGAAAAAAAGAATGCAGGCTTAAAACACACACACACACACACACACACACACACACACACACAACATCGATTCCCGTCGATGAGAAAAAAATGTCTGCCACTGAAAAAGCACCAGGTCCAGAGGGTTCCACAGTGGGGGCTGCACTCACCTCTGACCTCACGGCCCTGGCCAGGGGGCGATCTCAGGTTTCCCTTTGGCTAGTGAGATCCTGGGGGGGGGGTGCTCCTCCCAAGCACCCCCACCCCCACGCACACGCAGTACTTTGTAGATGCAGAAGCCAGCCCAGATCGTAACTGTTAGTTTGCTTGCCAGTACCTCCTCCTGGACAGAGAGCTACCCGAGGGCAGGGGCCGTGCCTTATTCTTTATGGCCTCCCGGTGCCCAGGGCGGCGCCTGCCATTTACCAAATCAGTGAGAACGGTGACTGAAAAATTACGGCGTAATTATCGGCACGCCACCGCGTCCCTGTATCTGTAAAACTCCCTACACATGGGAAAGCAGAACAGAAAAAAAACCCCAAACCCAAAATGCTGACAGTCATTAGACTATAATTTCCCCCCATTAGCCAAATATTTGTCATGGGATTAAACTCTTTTTGCAGAGGGAACAGCTATTTACAAATTCAGACCAGGCCAGGGGCCCTCCACGGGTGCAGAGGGGGAGGGGTGACGGCTGGGGGCATCTCCTGGGCCGAAGCCCCGCCCCCGACAGACACGGAGCGCAGGACAGGGACCCCCGCCCCGCTCCCCGGCGGGCCTCCTGGCGGACCAGCGCCCCCAGGACCCCAGAGCCGGGCCTGCACAGAAGCGGCCCGCGGGCCTCACCAGGCCTCTGCAGCCGCTCTGGAAATCCCCTCAACCCCACGGTCCTTTCTCAATTTGGAAACAGCCTCCAAAGTTTAGCAGGATGTCCCTGGGACCCAGCCTTGGCGGCCCCATTTCTCTGTACACCAACCAACATCAACTGTCCCCTTGTTCTCCACACCCCAGTGTGGGGCCCTGACCACACCTGACCACCAGCCACCACAGTCGTGATGACGGTCTCCTCTGCCCCGGCCCCGGGCTCTGGGCCCGGGCCACGACCAGCCATTGGGGCTGCCCGGCCCCTCCCAGTGCTGGTCTCAGCTCCAGGAAGGGCAGGGAGAGCGAGCTTAGGCTGGGGCAGCTGCCGAGGCTCAGGAAGCGGGGAGGCAGGTGGACTTGGACTGGGTGCAGCCTCAGGAGGCCCGGACCCGAAGGGAACCAGAGGCTGAGAAGGTGCAGCTGCGGCCCAGGCGTGGGGGAGACCACCCGGAGGACACGGGGGCTGCCCTCGGCCCGCAGGGTGAGAGGTGCTTCTTTCTCGCCTTGCGAGCTGTGGGTGGGGAGGGCTCTTCCTGGTCCTGGCCAGGAATGTGGGGTGAGGATGGGAGGGGACTCCCCGACAACCTGCTCTTTCAGGAGCCAGGACCCAGGCTGGGCAGTGGAGATCCCTGGTCAGCCTGGGGCGGCACATGAGTCACGGGGCAAATGGTCAGGCCAGCTGTGAACAAACCAGTTGGGCAGCCGCCCTGGAGGTGGGCTGCCCTGGGTGGAGAGAGCCGTTGCGAGGAGCGGGGCACACAAGGGGACTCACTGGACCCTCCTCCTGGGCTCAGCCCCCTGCTCTCACCAGCCCCCCTCCCTTAAATGAAGGCTGCCCGGCTGCCCCCAAAGGAGGATCCAGGAGGACCTGTCCAAGGCCAGTTCTTCTGTGTCAAGAGCTGCCCGGGGAGTTTGCTCCGGGGAGGGAGGGGGGATGCTAGGCAGGCCTGGGACCCGGAGGGGAGGGGAGGGCTGGGCGGCTCCCAGGAAGTCCCTGGGTGGGTTTTAGCCTGGGGCAGGGAAAGCCCAGTGCGGTGCGAGCCAGGGAGGGTGGCGGGGCAGGGGGAGAGAGTGGGGAAACTGTCCTCTCCCCCGGGGTCCCAGCTCCACTTGAAGGTGAGGGGTCACTCACAGTTCCCGGCAGAGGAGACAGAAGCCAGGGCCCTGGGGCTCCTTCCAGTCCAGGCCGCCTCCTCAGGTGAGGTGCCTCCTGGGCGGTTTGCATAAGAAGCCTCGGAGGCCAGGGCCGTAACTCTTTCCTCCCTGCGGCCAATGCCCAGGCGGCGGGGGCGGGCTGCAGTCCAGATGGCAGGCCTGGGCGGGGACGGTGACCTCACCCTGAAATGCCCCAGTCAGGAGGGCCCCTTGGCCAGGGCTGGGCCCCGAGCCACAGAGGAGGAGTCTCGGGCCCCCTCCTCCCCAGGTTTCCCTGGGCTCCTGGAGCACCTCCTTGCAGGGGGGCGGGGGTGGGGGAGGGGGCAGCTTGCTGGGGCTTACCTCCCCGGTCTTCCACCTCTCCCTCCTCAGAAGCAGGGGCTTCTGCCCTCCCCTGGGACCTCTCACTGCCCCCCAGCCCCCTCGGGTGCAGAAAGCGAGGTGAGGATTTAGAATGCATGCCCCTTTCCCTGCAGCCCATGCCAGGGCTGGGCACGCACACGCACAGAACATTCAGAAAACGGAACGCCTCTCTGCCCACGGCTTGTACTGTCCTTGCTGAGGGGAACAGGGTGGCCAGTCCTGAAGGCCACCCGCTGAGACAGAGCCTGGTGGCCAGAGTGGGGTTTGGGGCCAGGAGGGCTGAAACTGACCTGAGTGCTGCCACCTCCTGGCTGTGTGGCTTCCAGCCAGTCACTGAACCTCTCTGAACTTCCATTTGTACGGGGGCAAAAGGGGTGGCACCTGTGCCTGCCTTCCGAAGTGCTGGGCAGAGGAGCCTTGGAGCGAGGGCCCACAGGACCACGTGGCGTCTCACTCTGCTTTGTGTCCCCAGTGTCCAGCACAGTGCCCAGCACACGCCAGGGGTTCGTCATGCGCTAGCTGAGACTGTCAAATGCTGTTTGCTGCCGTGGCTCCGTTCTTCTGGGGGTGGGGGGCATGGCGGGGGGATCCCTGCCTCTGACAACTGTCCCGCCCTCCACACCTCCCTCATTCTTTGCTCAGTGGTCCACCGACTGGACGCTGACTCCCACCCTCTGCAACAACCCTGTGTCACCTCCTCTTAACACGCTTGTCCTCCCCACCCTCTCCGCTCGGTGGCCCCTGCCTCTCTCCTTTCTCCCGGGACCCACATCATCCACTACCTCCCCACCCCCCTCAGCCACCCCCTCCCAGCTCCTGCCCATTGTCTTAGGTTCGGGGGAGTCTCCACCCCTGACCTCCACCGGCCTCTGGCTGCGCGGTGTCTGTGCTCTCCCTGCCAAGCTTCTGAGAGCCGTCCGCACTCTCAGTCCACATCCTCGCCTTCGTTCCTCAGCCTCCTCGCCTTCAGCAACTCCCTGGACTAGCTCCTGATAAGGAGGCCACCAACTTCTGGTGGCCTCTTCCGATAAACGTTTAATGGCTTTTATCTAACTTCCCCTTTCTTCGGCCTCAGCGTCTGGGCCGGCTCCCTCCTGGTTTTCCTCCTCGTTCCCTGCCGGTTTCTTCCTCTCAGGCTCCTCCCGCCTCCCTTTGTCACCCAGAGTGGTGGCTGCCCCAGGCACCCCTGCTCCCCTGCCCACACCGCCTCCACACCCTTGGCTTCACCGTCACACACCGAACACCTTCCCTCGGCCAGCCGGCTGCCTCCTGACCCAGCCCAGCGGGGCCAGAGTGGTTGCTTCAGCCTCACTACCCACTCCTCTCCTCCCCATCGTCCCCCTGCGCCCCCCACAGTATGTCAGCCGGGAGACTGGAGCTCATCTTGATGTCCCTCACACCCTCCCCAGCCTGGGGGCTACCCGGTCCTGCGGAGTCTGCCTCCTAAATCTCCTGTCATCTCCGAGCATCCAGGACACCACAGAGGTCCTCCTCCATTCTCAAAGCCCCTGCGACACGGGTCTTTTCCCAGCCCCTCTCCCTTTTCTGCTGAGAGCCTCCCAAGGCCTTCAGGATAAAGCCCACACTCCTGGCCAGGCACTCCCCATGCCCATCTGAGCCTCCATTCCTGACCCCAGCTGCACAGGGTGGGGGGGCTTGCAAGGCCCCCCCCCCCCAAAGTGCCACCTCTCACACCTCCACCTCTGCCCATGCACTTGAGCGTAGCTGGATCCCAGATGGCCTGTGCCATGCCGGACTGAGGCATCTGTCCCCTCCTGACATCCTCCTGTCCCAGATGGTGGGCCCCCCTGGCCCCGGGCCGGGGCTATGCCTCAGTCACCTTTAGATCTAAAGGCTCACCTGGTGTTTGGTAGGTGTTCAGTCAATTCACGATGAGTGAACAAGCGAATGAAGGAAAAGGAGAAAACCTGCTTCTCCTGTCTCCTCCAAGAAGAAAAGGGGCAGCCCTGCCCTGACCAGTGTGGCTCAGCTGGGTGGGCCTTGTCCCGCAAAGCGAAAGGTCACGGTTTGATTCCTGGTCAGGGCACGTGCCCGGGTTGCAGGTGTGGTCCCCAGTCGGGGAGCAGACAGGAAGCAACTGAACGAGAGGCGACCTACCGACACTTCTCTCCCTCTCTTTCTCCCTCTCTTCCCCTCTCTCTAAAAGTAAGTAAGTAAATATCTTAGAAAGAAAGAAAACAGGCAAGCTCACCTTTCAGCAAATCCCTTCTTTAAATGCTGCCTGGAACAACTACAGGCAGAGTGGAACTTCCTTCCCAGGGGGAAAACAAACTCCCCGCCCCTGGACTTTGCTGGGGATGGGGTGTGCGGTCACAGGGGGTGTGATTTACACCCATCACACAAGGAGGAAACGGAACCAGAGATGCTAAACCGCTTGCTGAGGTCACACAGTGAACTAGGGCCAGAAGTGGGACCAGACAGAGCCTCTTCGCCAGTACCTGGGTCTCTGGCAGGTGCTCACCCCTGCCCTCCCTCAACATACCCCTGCGGCTGCGCGGAGCCTGCGGAAGGAGGGGCAGAGACACCGCCGCACAGTGACTGTGGCTGCTGGGGCGATTTCTCAGGAGGTACCCGGATTTGGGGTCTTCTCCCCCTCCTTCTGCCACCCTGGTCCTGGGCGCTGGGATGAGCAGAGTCCCGGCTCGCGGGGAAGGGAGCTCGGCAGCTCCTCTGCCCTAGTCAACAACACACTCCCGCACACGCTCTGGGCGGGACGCGGGGGTGCAGAGGGGCAGGGAGTCCTCCACCTCGAAGGGGGCGCAACTCAGAGAAACGGATGCCCCGCCATCAGCAGGGCAGAGAACGTGGAGGCTCAGGAGGGCGCCGCCAGGAGTCTGCCCAGAAAACGGAGGGGCGCCGGGAGAAAAAGCGCTGGCATTCAGCTATCTAGCCCAGAGAAGCTGTCTGGAGGGCGTCAAGGGCGCAGGCAACAGGACCCTCCTTCCCCCACCCCCACTCGCATCCCGCAGCCCGGTCGCCACCCGCCAGGTGCTGTTCCGCAAGCTGGCCACAAGGGGGCGGGCTGCCCCCTGCAGAAAGCGGGGCGAAGGCGGCGCAGACCCAGAGGAAAGGATGCTAAGCGGGACCCCAGCCGCTCTTGGCGGACCGCCCACTACGTGCCAGGTGCGTCCACGCCTCGCGACATAGAAGGCTGTCAACAGCTTTAATCCTTAGGTATTCTCTTATGTTTACACACAATGACACTGGGGCTGAGGGGTGATGACTCGCCGGCCGGTGACTCAGCAGAGTCAAATTAGCATTCCTGCAGCCTCAACTCCTGAGCTCTGTGCGCTGCAGCCGGATGGGTGGAAGGCAGGCCCAGGGGCGTGCGGACGGTGCCTCCTTCCTCTGGGCGTCCCAGACTCAGTCCTGGCACTCGGAGGACCCGATGTTTATTGAAATGACACCAAATACCAAGGAAGAAACCATAGCCTCACAAGCATTAAGGGTCACTCAGCCATCTCCCCCGCCCCTCTCTGGGCTAAAGGAAAAACTGAGACCCCGAGAGAGGAAGCGAATGGACCATCGTCCACACAGCTGGTGGCAGATGTCTGTGTATTCCCCTCCGCTCCCCTCCCTGCAAAAGTCCCCAAGTTCAAGATGCCAGCGCCGCCCGCACAATCGTGAGGGATGTCACAGTTTTTAAAACGTGCTGTTTTCGAGTTCCCAAATGAACCTAACTGGATTCTGACGCGGAGGGGGGGAAAAGAAAACCCCAGTATGACTGGACTTCTTTCCGAAACAAGCCCGTCAGCCTCAAGCTTTCTGTTTGTTTGTTTTTTAAAGAGGGAACTGAAATGTGAGAGGCAGCCAAAAAAGGGAAGCAGAATCCTGACTTCCATATCCATGATCTCGTCCGACACCCCCTCGCCTGCAAGCTCCTGCGAGGAAGGCGATGCACGGAGCTCCGGCTACAAGTCCGCAACCCGCTGTTTCATGCCCGCTGCGTTTCGGAATGGTGCGGATCTTAGAATGGCAACACGGCGCACGCAAGGTGGCGCGACGCTCCCGGCAAGGCCTGCCTGGGTCAGCGCCCTATAATCAAGCTCATTTGTAGCAAACCCTGAACACTCCCACTAAATGGAATAAATAAAGACCCCCAATGGCCTCCCATGAGTTCAAGTCAAATTTTGCCATCAATTTTGTCATGGAGATACCTTTGGGCTTCGGGAAACTTTGGGGGGATTTTGGAATTTCTGATAAGAGATTGTGAGCCTTGTACCCCTCGTTTCGTGGTTGAGGAAAGCGAGGCTCGGTGTGAGGGAGTTCGGCCAAAGCCCGCGCGGACCCTGCTGAGGCTGGGTCTGTCCGGACGCTAAGCCACGTGGGTCTCCTCGCGCACCCGCTCAGAGCTGGCGCAGCCCCCTCCCGCGCTCCCCCCACCACCCCGCCTCCGGCTCCCCGCGACCAACCTGCTCCGGGCGCTCCTCCCGCGGCGGTGCGCGCACGTCGTCGATGGCCTCGTACAAGTTCTCAGAGTCGCTGCGCGCCAGGGGTCGCGGGCACACCCAGGAGCCCGCCACGCTGCAGGCCTTGAAGCGGCCGGCGCTCCCGAGGAGGCCGGCAGGGGGCGCGGCGCCGGCACGCGCCAGGTCGTCCAGGGACTGCGCGGGCCGCACGCGCGCCGCGGGCCGTGTGTACAGGCAGGTGGGCTGGCCGGGCGCCAGGCTCTTGCGCTGGGTCCCGGCGCCGCGCTGCGCAGGGCCGCACAGGGAGCCCGCACGGCCCCGGGGCTCGGCGGGCACGCCGTCGCGGGCTCCGGGCACCGGCGCGCTCACGAAGCGGTAGTCATAAACCAGCGGTTCCGGGGCTGCCGGGCCTGGGTGGGCCGCGGGCGGCGCCGGGGCGGTGGCAGGGTCGCCGATCGCCGGCAGCTCGCGCACGTACTGCGCGGGCAGGTAGAAGGGGCGTCCGTCGGGCTCGCGCCGCACGTGCCACCAGTGCTCCGTGCTGCGGCGCAGCAGCTTGTAGCGCTCGTTGGGTTGGATGGCGACGCGGCCCCCGTCCTTGCCGGTGTACTCGAAGGGGTGCTCCACCAGCACGTACACATCCCCCTCGACGTCCGCCGCCATCGCCGCCGCAGCCTTTCCCTGTGGACAGCAAGGAGGAGGGGCACGGAGGTCAAGGCCACGAAGCCAGGAAGTGCACACACTTCGGGGGACGGAAGACCTGGGTTCGAGCGTCCTTGCTGCGCTCGTCGTGCGCGTTCTGGCCTCAGTTTTCCTATCTCGGAAACGGGAGACTCCGATAAACTCTCTTAGGCTCTCGTTCTCACTCCCAGTGATAGAATTAGGGCAAGCCTTTCCTTCTGCAGTGCTGATTTTAAGATTTGAGCCTGGATTCAACTCCTTGATGGGGAGACGGAGAGGCTAATACTGGGACTTGGTTCAGAGATAGAGTAATGATGTTCAACCTTTTTCATCTCATGGCACACATAAACTAATCACTAAAATTCTACAGCACAACAAAAATATATTTTTTGGCCGGTCTGCAAACAATTTGCTCTAGTTTTGATTTATTCACATCGGATGGCTATTGTTGTGTTGGCTGTTGTCATTTTTTTTTTAATCTGACAGACTAAGGGAAAAGAGGTCAGTGCCCCTGACTATAAACAGTCAGGTATTGCATATTTTAAAAATTCGTGCAGCACACCAGGGGGCCTCTTGGGCCGCACTAGTTGAAAATCGCTGAGATAAAGTGATTGCCCGAGGTCAAGCCGACGCCACAGTTTGCCGGAGAGTTTTTGGACCGGGCCTCAGTTTCTCCGTCTGTGAAGGGGGAAGAACAGCTCATTCCCTACACCCCGCCCGGTCCTGCCGCCTCCAGAGCTCAGGGAATGCGCGTCCGCAGCGCCACTCTGGCCGCTCAACCCCTGGGAGTGTCCCTGCTCCGCTTAGTCCCAGAGCCTTGCCCGGGACGGCCTAGACTGCCAAGGCCGCGGAACCGGTTCTCTCGGTTTCTCTTTCCTTCTCCAGCGGCTGTGCCGCGGACGTGAACCCGGCGTCTGGCCCGCCCAGACCGGCCCGCACCGCCCCTGCCCTCCGGCTCCCAGCTCCCACCTCCACCTCCGGAGAAAGGCGTGGCCCTCGCCGCCAGTCGGCCCTGCCTGCGCTGAGATCTGTACGTCTCCCCCACGAGAGCGGCCCCTAGAATATGCACTTTGTGGCGGTGACTACTCGCGCGTGGTCTCCAGGGGTCCCCACAGCTCTCCTGGAGGGATCACCACAGTCCCCACCCACCCTGAGCTGGTTCAGCCTGGCCTCCGAGCCTGCCTGTGTCCTTTCATCAGTGCGATGAGTCGGGGACCTGCTCGGGAGGCGGCTGGTCCCTCCAAGCCTTCCACACTGACCACACCTCCGGCCCCACCAAGGTGGCCCCCCCGGGACCAGCAGCCGGGAGCCTGGCTGCTTGCTGAGGGTGAGGGAACCCCACAGAGGGGGGCCGCAGGGCCCTCCTTTACTTTGTCAAGGGTTCCTCGAAGGGGCCAGCGGCGTACAGTGAGTCACAGGCACTCTGGGCCTCGGAGGCGGGGTCAGAGAGCTGCCCAGGACACCCCTTCTGGCCACCTTCCCCTGACCTTCCGCGGCTCACTCACGTTGGCAGGCGGGACTTCGGGAGCCCATGGGCTGGATGGGCCGAGCCGGCAGATGGGTGCAGGTTAGGCTCCTGCCATCTCGTCGGGCCGGTGTTCAAGGGCCAGGCCGCGGAGGGTGCGGGTGGCAGGAGCTGGCGGAGGGGACAAAGAGGCAGAGGTGTGCTTTGCAGGGCCGTCCCCAAGCCCCGAAGCAGCGGCGTCTCGGAGAGAACCGAGGGGGAGCGTGAGTCTGTCGGTGCCGGCGGGGACGCTGGAAGCCGGGCCCGGCGCTAGGGAAAGCGCGAGGGAGGAACGGGGGCGCGGAGGGCAGCGACCGAAGGGGCGCTGGCGGGTCCCGAGCAGAAAAGGTGGAGTCCCGCCCCCGCCCCGCCCCGCCCCCACCCTCTCAGGCCCGGGTCAGTCGTCCACGAGCCTCTGCGCGTCCCACGGACAGCAGGTCCCGGGCGCGTCCTCCGGCCGGGGCGTTCCCAGGCGTAGCGAGGCCACTTGCGCTCTGAATCACCAACTACGAGCCCTTTCCAGCCCGATTGCCGGCACTACCCGCGCCGGGCCCAGCCCCCGCCCTCCCCAGACGCTTTTTCGGCGCAGCTCGGCGGGGCCGGGAACGACTCGCAGCGAAGTTACCCCCAGGGACGCCCACCAGGACGCAGGGGCCTGGGCTGCGTGGGGAGGGGCCCGGGCCTGGGCTCCTTTCCCGACTGCCAGGGGGGAATGCGGGCAGCCGGGAGGACCTCTGGAGCGCGGGGACGGACCTGTCGCCAGGAGGTGCCCCGCTGCCACTGCCCCGGCGACGCGAGCCGCAGCGGCGCCAACGCCTGCTTCGGCGCTGGGCCCCTCCATTCCCCGGGCACAGGGCCACCCTTTTTTCCCCGGTCCTCCGTGGGGAGGAGACCGTCCCGCGCGGCATCCTCCCGGGCCCGCGCAGCTCCGGTACGGAGAGGAGCGGGAGCGCGATGGTCCCGGGGGAAGGACCCGCCGCCTGCGGCGCCCCACTCCTACCCCCCACCAGGTCCGGCCCGGCTTTGGCACCTCGGGGTGTCCACTCGCTAGCCTGGCCTCCACTTGTCCCGGCAGGGCGCGCGTGGGCTCGGCGTCCGGCGCTCCCTCCTCCACCGCCCGGCTACCGCGCTGCCGGGTTTCCTGTTCAACAATACAGCGAGGGAGGCACCAGCCGAGAGCACCAGGCTGAACTTCCTCCCGGGCTGGGGCTGGGGCTGGGCTGCGGCCGCCGGAGACAATCCCCGGAGTCCTGGCTTCCTGTCCCCTCTGGGCTGGGCCAGCGCCGCAGGAGCCCGGACGCCGCCCCCTCCCCCTGCACGTCCCCGGGAGGTCGGGCCGCACCTGGCTGTCTCCTGGGAGCTGGAGGTGGCAGGACCAGGGTGGCGGGATGAAGGGCAAGGGAGCCTCCTCACCAGCTTCGGCCCAGATTTCCCTCCCACTGCTTGACACCCCCCCCCCCCCGCCCGCCAGGACCCCCTCCCCCCAACACACACACTTCCTCCTTGATCCTGGTCACAGAGGAGGGCCACCCTCCAACCTGTCTGCAGGGCAAGATCCGAGCTAGCTCCTGGGGCTAGGCTCCAGATCCTCATCTTATCTCGGCATCTGTTTTCTTTCCTGTAAACTGGGGACGGTAACACCTACTTCACAGGATTGTCGGGAAGATTAAATGAGATGCACTAAGAATCATGTGTGACTGTTATCACATTGTCATGATCAGAACACACAATGTATTGAGTTACGATGATCACTACTTTTGAAATGAGATGGGCCATCCTCCTCCTTGGGGTTGGATGGAGGTCTCCGAACCCCCCTCCCCCAAACCGCCCTCCTTTCGGCTGGGCGGGGAGGGGAGAAACAAGCGACCCTTGGCTGAGGGGGAAGATGCTGTGTCCAGAGGTAAGGCCGGGCCTCTTGCCCCTGGTCCCCTGGTGGGCCTGCCTCCCCCCAGCCCTCCACCCAGGTTTCTCGGGTGTCTCCCGAGCCGGCCCTGGAGGGAGGTGAGGCCCCTGAAGGCAGCTGGGCTCCTTGGGATGGGGAGCCGGTGCCTCCACGCGAGCTGGAAGGACAGAAAACTGCAGTCCTAAATGTTGTCTCCCCAGCCCCTTTCTCCTGCAGCCCCATGTTCCTGCAAATGAGTGTTTCCTTCGTCTGTCCTCACAGTGGGGGCAGTGGTGGGCTTCACCCTGCGGGGGGCGGGGGGGGGCACCCTCAGGCTTCTCCTGGACCTTCGGAGGAAGGTCTGCACCCAAGCGAAAGCCACCGTGAGCCCTCACGCCACGAGCCCCGGCCCCGAATGGTGGGGGGGGGCAAGGGGCTGCTCAAACAGCCTGTCCTTCCTGAGCCCCTTCTCTCTCAGTCCAGTGGGAAGCACGGGCCTGAGGCTCCAGGTGTTCCAGCGTCTGGGGCCTGGGCTCTGACATTTACGGCGCAGGAAAGAGGCGATGGTGGTAGAATTTCAGGCATCCGTGGTGGTGGAATTTCAGGCATCAGCCGCAGTTGTTACCTGTGCCTGTACGTGGAGTAAACCTCCCGAAGGCCCTGAACTCTGACCCCACGGGGGCTCTGCCTCCTCAGAGCGAGGGCGGGGTCTGTACCGAGCCTGGTACTGCCCCTCTCCTCCTCGCCCCCTGCCCCCTGCCAGCACACACGCCCCCTGCTTACCAATGTTTGCCCCTCCCCCCAGAGACGTACAGGAGAGTGGAGGCCCTGTCTGAGTGGCCGTGGATGGCCCAGGGTCTCCCCCCATCAGCAGCAGCATTAGGATTCAGAAGCCAAACCAGAGATTAGAAATATCAGGTCTTTACTGCAAAATCATTCAAAAAAATCACACAGCAGCAGTTCCTTCAGTACATTGCAAAGCACTTCTCAGGGCTGGGGCCCCGCGCTGCAGAGAGTTTATTGCATAAAATGACATGTTAAAAAGAGTGAGGTTCACGTCAGCTTTCCATTGGAAGTGAGGGGGGAAAGGTCAGCTCGTTGGAAAGCATCGGCGGCTTTGGGCGATGGCAGGGGGTCCGTGCTAATGCTACTGATCTCTGGGAGGGTGCGGGTGGCGTGGGGCTGAAGTGAGTGGCTCCCAGGCCTCACGGCTGCCGCCTCCCAGGGCACGCTCTGGAGCACGGAATATCCTCGCGGGCCCCAGGAGACAGGGCCAGGCACAGGCGGCGCCGCCCACCCGGGGCCTGAGGCGATCCGGGCTCCGGCCAGGCTGGGTCCGCAGGGGAGCATTAATGCCACTGTGAGTGGGTGGGACGAGGAGAGGGGACCCGCCTTCCGGTTCTGGAGGCTTTGGTGCCCTGGGTACAGGTGTGCGCCTGCTTCCGAGAGGGGACAGAGGCTCTGCGGCGGCAGCCCCGCCCCCAGCTGCCGAGCACTTCCTCTGCCCTATTGCACAATTCATCCCGCTCCTCAGAGCTGGGCAGGTGACTCAGCAGCTGCACCACCCCAAGCGAGAGGTGGGAGTAGGTTCATCCCTTGGCGGTGGCAGGCGGGTCTCCACCTGAGGCCTCCAGTCTCAGGCTGTGCGTGCCAGGTGGCCAGAGGACCCCAGGCCTGAGGGGAGCCTACTGGGCTCCGGAGAGGTGGGGCAGAGGGAGGCAGCAGAGAAATCACACCCAGATTCCCCCGAGCCCCGAGGGTTTAAGTATCACTTGGAAACAATTCCAGACTCCCACCTGCCCCGACCTCTTCAGTGGTGACCGCGCTACAGCCCAACGCTCCAGTCTCCAGCAGCACAGCCCCAGCCCCGCCTGGGCCAGTCCAGCGAGGCTGGGGGAACTCATGGCTTTGTAAACCGAGGTGCGGCGCCCTTCTTCCTCGGACCTTCTCCCGCAGGTCCCTGCGCGTCCCGGGCGCAGGGCTGGCACTCTTCGGGGGAGGACGGGTCGCTGCTCCACCGCGTGCGTGAGGCTCGTCCTCAGCCTGAGCTCACGGCCTTCTCTGTGGGTGCAGCCTGCCTCCGTCCCGGCAGGGGCCAGCAGGTGGGGGTGGGTCCCTGGGGTGTCTGCAGCAGCACCCTGAGGTGCGTGTGCAGGGTAGGAGTGAGGAGGGCAGGCACGGGGCTGAGGGGCAGGTGAGATGACGACCCTTCCCCACACCGAGGAAGGGAGGCGCAAAGTGCTGACAGTGCTGGTCCTGAGTCCCCCCTCCCCCTGCAGGGACCCAAGTCCAGGGCACAGAGGAAGACGCTGGGCTCCTCGGGTGGGCAGGGTGGGGGTGGGGAGTAGAGAGGGAGAGCACGAGGGGGGTCATCAGGTCTGACCCCGCCCGCCTGGCCCGTTTGGCACGTTGCATTGCAGCTCTGGCGGCCAGCGGCTGGGGAGGGTGAAGGAAAGGCACCCGGTCCGGCTGGCCCAGGTGTGGCTGGCTGGCCAGGCCACACACCTGTCCGCAGACCAGGCCTGAGCGGCACCTGCGCGTTTGCTTAAGGTGAGGATGCCTGGATTTCCTGGGTGACTGGTGAAGGTTAAGAATAAAAAAATATTTTCTGTTGAAATATGAAGGGGGGGAAAAAACCCACCTTAAAAAACTAGACCTTTTTAATCAGGAATGTGAATTTGAAGATGTGTCCCAAGTCTCGTCCCCCTCGTGTGAATGGCCCTGACGGATGCGCCACCTCAGTGCGGTCAGCCGGAGCCTGGTTAGTGCAAAGCCCCCGGCCCAGCACCCCAGACACGGGGGTTCTGCTGGCGCCCCCACCTCCCAGAGCAGGAGAGCAAGCGTCATCCAGGGCTCCCTCCAGCAGGCTCGTGCTCTGGTCGCACCTGAGTCTCCCTGACAAGGGAGGCAGCTGTGACACCTGGAGGGAGCGCCCAGGCCTGGGACGGCTGAGCTGAGGCCTCCCCGAGGCCTCTGGGGGTGGCGGGCAGGAGACTGGGTTAGGCGAGAGTGTCCTGCTCCTGGTACTTGCGCCGGCGGGCACAGCGCGGGCAGCCCTTCACCACGGCCTGGCACGTCTGGTGGAAGACGGTCTTGCACTCGCCGCACCTGGGAGAAAGGGGCAAGTGTGGCCTGTCACGGTGGGTGGGCGGTAGGCTGGCCAGTGCCCCCGGACAGGGTCCCACCCCCCGGCCCTCGGGCGCTGCCTCTCCGCCCAGTGACAGAGGATCCTGCAGTCAAGCTTCCCCAAGGTCACGGATGGAAGCCCGCTGGCGCCCTCCGTTTCATTTCTAAATACATGCAGCGGAGACTCACTGAGTGACTCCTCGCCTGCGTCTGAGCCACCGCAGTGAGGAGGACTCAGCCCCACTCTGTTCGGGGCTGAGTCTGGGCCGGGGGACACCTACTGGAAAGGAATTAACGTGCCCGCCAGTTCAGCTTTCCACCCCCGCGTGGGCCGGAATGGAGGTTTTGCTGGATGGATGTGTCCATCTGGAGGCTTCTGATAACGAGTGGTGACCGGGGACAAGAATGACCACGATGGGAGCAGAGGCAGCACCAGGGGTCGCCCACGGGGCCTGCTCCATGCCAGGCCGTGTCCACCACGGCAGGGCAGTAACTCCTTTGGTGCCTCAACCCATTCACAGATGACAAAACTGAGGCCCAGGAAGGCACCCTTGCCCCTGGCAAGCCAACAGTGTCCTGTGAGGGCTGGACTTGTGCCCAAGCTGGATGGGGGCTGGCTGTGCCTGCCCCGGGCATCAGCCGCTCTGGACGAGCCACCACCGTGCGGCGCTGGCCCGGAGAGGGTGTTAAGTGTGTTCGAGCACAGTGGAATGCTGGGGTGAGCGGCGGGTAGGAAGGGGGTGGGGAGGCCGCCGAGTGTCCTCCATACCTGACCGTGGTGTCGAACTCGAAGGGGAAGATGATGTCATGGTGGCGGCAGATCTGGCAGATGAAGCCGCGCTGGGTGCAGAGGTCGCAGTGGTAGACGTGCTGGGAGGCGAACTCGATCAGGGCCTTGAGGAACCCTTCGTACGTCCCTTCCGAGACCTGTCAGGGCACATGCGGGCCGCCGGGCCTTTCAGGGAGCTGCACGGAGGCCAAGGTCACCTGCAGAGCGTGGCTGCTGCGGCTCCTGGCGCCCCGCCCACAACACTCCTACCCCGACAGCGGCGTCACTCCGCGTGGGCACGATGCCCTCCCCAGATGGAGGTGAGCAACCCGGGCATCCAGCGCTGGTGCCCACGGGGGCAGCAGGACTGACAGACAAAACCCCAATCCGCTCCTCCCCTCCTCGAGGACGGGGGTGACTCAAACTCTCGCCCCTGTGACTTTGGCCTTCGCCGCAGTGCCTGCTTGTTGCAGGGGGCTGGGGGCCCGCTCGCTGCCCCGGGACACAGGGATGGCAGGCCGCCCGCCCCGAGGCTCTGAGAAGCCGAGGGCGGCTGCCTGGGTGCAGGGAACGCAGGCCACGCCGCCCCCTCTCCGTTTTGGATTTCTCCAGGTTCGGGGTCCCACTAGAGAGGTCTGGTGGGGGACAACTCTCTCACCTGCTGTAGGTCAGCGACACTGTACTTGTGGGGAGACTCCAGGAGGTAATTCCTGTGGCTGAGCCTGCAAAGAAAACACAGGGGTCCTTGAGAGGGGTTCCCGAGCCCGGCCGACCTGCGTTTGTTTTCGTCCCCGGCATTGACGACCAGACCAGCCGGGCACCCACACCTGCCGCCTGGGCGGGGCGGTGGCCACGAGCACAGCCCGCCAGCCAGGGCTGGACCAACTCGCCGCTGAGACCTCAGGCTGGTTCCTCACCTGCCCCTGAGCCTCAGGTTTCCTCACCTGAGAAATGGAGCTGTTCTGAGGATTAAATAATTTATTTCGAGTGCCTGGCACAGTGCCTAGCCCACAGTAAACAAAGAGTAATCACCTACTACAGTTGGTAAACTTCTGCCGCGTAATTGAGATTTGCCAAGAGAACTTAAATGTTCTCACCAAAAAAGTATTTATGAATAGCTCTGGCTAGTGTGGCTCAGTGGAGTGAGCGCCGACCTGCAAACCAAAAGGTCGCTGGTTCACTTCCCAGTCGGGGCACATGCCTGGGTTGCGGGCCGGGTCCCCAGTGGGGGGTGTGCGAGAGGCAACCGATCCATGTTTCTCTCCCTCCCTGCACCCCTCTGAAAATAAATAAATAAAATCTTTTAAAAACATTTTTAAAACATTTATGCATAAATAAATAAGTAAATAAGGTGATGAAAGTGCTCATTAACCAGACCGGAGGATCCCTTCGCGATGCGTCCATACAGCTAATCATCGCGCTGCACGCTTCAAATACCCGACCCTTTTATTTGTCAGTTATATCCCGGCAAGGCTACAATTATGTTTTAAAATGGAACGGCACAGAACAAATAAAGCAAACATCTATGAAAATGATGGTACGGAAGAGGCCGAGGGACGCTGGCGGCTGGTCCCGGGACCCAGGCTGAGGCTCGCGCGTGTTCACACGCATGCGCACTCGCTCGGTCCTCGCAGTGGCTCCTGGGGCCAGCGCTGCGAGAACCAGCGCCCCCTATGGGACGGCGAGGACGCGGGGAGCACAGAGATCAGATGCCGGCCGGGGAGGGGTGGGGCGGGCATCCGAACGCAGGAGTTTGCCCGCAGAGCCCGCGTCCACCCGGGGAGTGCCTGTCCATCTGTGGTCATTGCTGCCACCACCGCTCGTCAGGGGCGGAAATGCACCAGCCGTGGCTCCTGCCCTCCTCCTGCAGCCCCTGGCCTCGCCGAGGGACAGGCATTCAAGCATCTGGTTTCAGTGCTAGTGAGAGGCACCGAGGCCTGCCCCAAGCACCGCAGCAGATCCCATTTCGGAGGCGGGGCGGGGAGACAGAGGGTGAGGTTCAGCCACCAGCTGGGCTCTGGTTTCTGCCCGGAGAGCGCATGGCAGAGATCCCGAGAGTTACATCCTGCAGGACGGGGAGGAAACACCTGCAGGCGGCACCCCCCACCCCACCCCTGTACAAAGCTGGCCCGGCCCCCTGTGTGTGTGCTGCTGGGGCTCTGGGGACAAGGCTCCAAGTCTGAGGAAGCTTGGAAACCTGCCCCAGGGGGCTCTGAACACCCAGGGTCAGGATGGGGCCAGGCCCTGGGGTGTCTGCAGTGGGAGCTCGGCCTCAGTGACGGTCCAGGGGGAGCCCACTCCAGGCCGGAGACGGCAGGTCCCGCCAGGCGGCCAGGCAGGCTACGTGGTGTTCTGGGGGGCGAGGTCGCTGCCGGCCGGACGCTCGGCTCGCTATGCTGGTCTCCCCAGGAAAACCCCGGCTTTCTGGGAACAGGAAGCCCCCATTTATCACCAGGAAGGCCAGGGGGGCGGGGACCGCACAGCCTGTCCCTGAGCTGGCAGGAAAGGTGGGGCTGATTTGGCTGGAGAGTCACGTCTGTCATCCGCCCTCTGCTCACGGTCGTGGAGGCCCGGGGGCCAGGTCCGGGCCGCGCCTGTGAGCTGCTGCATCCGGGCCCGTCACACTCAGAGGCCTGACAACTGAGGCAGGAGGAGCTCCCTTTGCCGGTGGGAGCCCCGGGCTGGGCCCTCGGAGAGAACAGGGGTCCCACGTCCAAGACCCGCCTGTTCTCCCTCTGCCTTGCATGACTCCGTCCAGGCCACCTCGCCTCTCGGGCTGGTGGCTGCTGCTGCTGCAAACTGTCTTTTCTAAACGCCTGACGGGAATGCGACAGTCCCTTGCTCAAAACCCTCCGGCAGCTCCCCAGTGTGGGTGGGATAAACCCCAAACGCCTCTGGTCGGCACACAGGGCCGTCCAGGCCTGGCCGCGCACCCGCAGTCCGGCGGCACGAAGCCCCTTGCGGGCCCCGGTGAGCCACACTCCCATCCCCCGCCACGCCGCAGGCCACCTTAGCTACAAAAGCTGGGCCTCCCGTCCCCCTCTTCTCCCGAGCCCCAGTTCACGATACACGGGATGCCCCGCGTGCTGCGGCATCGCTGGTCCCCTGCGTGTGAGGCCAGAGTGAGGGCTGGAAGCGTGCCCACCGGCACCAGAGGCGCTGAGACGGGGAGGGGAGAGTGTCCCAACCTCCTGCCCAATGCTCTTTCCTACCGCTTGAATGCTGTCTTTGCAAAGGAGAAGAGCATTCTTTTGTTCCTTCGTGAAAAGAAGTAACTCCACAAACCCTCAGCTCGGATGCCATTTCCTGCGGGAGCTGCTCCTGCCCTCAGGGCCCTGCCCAGGTCAGGGGCCCTCTCTCACGACACAGGCCACGCGGACCCAGGGCCCTCGGTCCCCATCTGTGTCCCCTCCCAGACTCCAAGCCCCCTTGCGGCCTGCACCACAACTCGGGACCACAACTCAGGAAGGCCACAGGAATGCAGGGATGGCTCGCCCAATTTATAGACAAGTGAGCTGAGGCTCGGAGAAGGGAAGCACCTTTCCAGAGTCGCACGGCGGGTCTGAGCCCAGGCAGAGGCCCCCCTCGCTCTTCCTCCTGCCGCGCTGCTTCTGCAGCGGGACTCCCACCATCGTGGTGGGGAGGAGTGGCCACAGGGGAAACGTGGAGGAGTTGGTGAGCCGCCCCAGGTCCCCAGAGCAGAGCAGTGAAGCCCAGCTGGGCAGCAGGTACCACTTCCTCCGCCTGAGGCCTGTCTGTCCTCCTCAGGCTCTGAGAACAGTCCAGTCCCACCGAGGGCCACAGCCTGGGCTGCGACCTGGGGGCTGGGAGGTGACCGTGACAGGCACGGAAAGAGCCTCTAAGTCCAAGCCCAGCATCACCTTCCACCCCTGGGCCGGCCCCCCTGAAGCTTCTTAAAGGGCAGCCTGAGGGTCCCGCCCCAATCTCGGCCTCTCCCGAGGACTGTGGGAGGGCGGCCGCCCTGGGCAGCAGAGCAGCCAAGGGCTGGCGGGCTGGCCGGCGAAGGGAGAGGCCGGGGCCACCAGCCCTCTGTGGCCTGGCCCTCACCTGTCTTCCTGTTACCGCACACCCCATGTCCCCCCCTTGCTCCCTCCGAAAATCTCCCTGCGCTCCCCACAAATGGGGCCTCACGTCCGCCATCGCTTCCCTCTCACTCTTTCCTGCTCTTCTTCTCCTTTGTAACTTATTCTTCAGGTCACACCTTAGATGTCAGGTCCCCCGGGAAGTCTTCTCGCTCCCTGTCCTCCTCCTCCAGGTAGAGGTGGGTGCCTTCCCCCTCTCCCACGCGGCCTCAGCCCCAGCAGCGGCCTTCCCTGCGAGAGGGTGGGGCCAGGCCTGCCTCCTTCTGCATTGTATCCCGTACACCTAGCCCAGTGCCGGGCACTTAGTAGGTTCCCAATGAATATTTGTTGGATGAATGATTGAATGAATGACCGTGTGAGCCCATGAGAGCCGCTCCTCAAGCACGTGGCAATCCCACCGGGCCCCGGCGTTTCTCCCGAGAGGGTGCCCCGTGTGCCTGCGGGCGCCCGCGTCCAGGCCGCTCACCTTTTGCTCAGCTCCTTCAGGGCCCCGCTGCGGCACAGGCCCAGGTAGTCGCCCAGCAGCTTCAGCTGCTCCCGGCTCTGCCCGATGAGACGCATCCGCTCCTCATGCTCGTACAGCGAGGGGTTCACCAGCTGCAGGTTGATGAGCGGGTGGGCCCGGATCTGCGTCAGGAACTTCAGGGCCTGCCGGCAGACCTGCGGGCGGCCACCACCAAGCGGGCAGTGGGGGCGGGAGAGAAAGGCCGCTCAGTGAACAGCTCCGGCCCGGGCACTGAGTCACCCTCGCGCTCCCTCACTCACCCCCCACCTGGGCCTTCTTCATTCTACGGATGAAGAGACTGAGGTTCAGAGAGAGAGGCAGGGACCTGGGCGGAGTCCACAGCTCATCGCCGCCAAGATCTGAACCCGGTTGATCCGAGAAGGTGCAACCCTCACACCTTCTTGCCCGCCCGCCCTCCGTGGCACCAGCTGCTGCCCCGCCCCCAGACCTACTGCGCTGGTGGGGATGCAGGAAGGACCCCTCTCCCTGGGGGGCCTCCCGGACTTTTTTCCCCACTACTTCCTCTCCGCCCAGCCCCCATTTTCCTACCCAAAGGAAACAGGCACTGTCCCCTGAGCCGACGCAGGAGCAGGTGACTTGATCTGGGTCAGGGTCCAACCACAGGAAGCCACAGACCAGACACAGCTCAGGGAGAGGCTTCCCCACTTCCCTCCGCTCTTGCCGGCAGCACCACCCGGGCTCCCCGAGCCTCCCCGGACTTCGGCGACCAGTCTCTGACTCTCCCACCTGACAGGGCGGAGAGGCTCCACCCTCAGGCCCCACCCCCACGCCAAAGCCAATTATTGAGCTCCTACTGTTTGCCAGACACTGGGCTGAAGGCCTTGACCACATCTTTTCTCCATCCTCGTAACAACCCGAAGGGGAAGGCGCCATCGTCCCTACTTTACTGAGGAGGAAACTGAGGCTCGGAGAAGCTACAGACGCTCGCCTGGCCCACCGGCAGGAGGCGGAGCCCGGGCCTCAACTGACGCCAGGACCCCCTCCACGCACCAGGCTGCCGCGCTGGCTGGCAGGGCCCTTTCTCCCCCGAGGTGCCCCCTCGCCGTGACAAGAACAGGAGAGAGGAGGCACTCTCCACTGTTAGCTACTGGGCGGTGGTTAGGACCCTGGCTTTCAAGTCAGACTGGGTCTTGAACCCCAGCTTTACTGCTTCCCAGCTGTGTGACCTTGTGAACCTGCCTTAATCTCTCTGTGACTCAGTGTCCTCCTGTGCATAATGGAATAAATAAAGCACTTGTCTCCTGGGATTATTGTGAGTTTAGAGTAAAGAGTGATCCGGTGAGCTCCTGGCGCAGTGGCAGCAGAGTATCCTCGTAAAGGGGACTGCCACCAGACTCTGAGCGTGCGCTGTGGGCCGGCTGCCCCCGGGGGGTTGGGGACGTCACAGGGAGCTCAGGAGACTAGCTGCCCACACTTGGGAGATGGGCCGGGGGCTGGGGAGGCTTGTGGCCTCCGGTCCACCAGCTCCACGGGCATCTCTCGCCTCCCCCAGGATGGGCAACTCCTTCTGTCCCGTTTCCCAGAGGCACCGGCCCCCAGGCCAGTGGGCAGCCCCGTGGCAAAGCCCCGGTGACCTGGATCAAGCTGCTGTGCCCCAGCCCCAGCCCGGCCCCGCCCACGACCCAGCCTCAGGCCTGGGGTGAGGCTCAGATGGAATAACACGAGGAATGTGCGTCGGAAACTGCCAAGCGCCGCAGACAGGCAGGGCTTTGTGCTCCCCGGGGACCGTCTCTGCCCCGTGGGCACAGAGCAGACAAAGAGAGCAGCCCCGCCCCGGCCGCACGTCCTGCCAGGTGCCCGGCAGGCCTCAGCCGAGTGGGTCAGCCGGAGTGGTCACGGCGAGCAATACGGCCCCTAACCTGAGCCGGTCACTGTCTGGTTTGCATTTCCCAACCGCAGATATGCCGAGAAGCGCGCTGCAATTTTCTGGCTGGGAGAAGGAAGTGGCACAAGAATTACAGCAATGAGCCCTGGCTGGTGTGGCTCAGTGGATTGAGCGCGGGCTGCGAACCAAAGGGTCGCCAGTTCGATTCCCAGTCAGGGCACATGCCTGGGTTGTGGGCCAGGTCCCCAGTGGGGGCCACGTGAGAGGCAACCACACATTGATGTTTCTCTCTCTCTTTCTCCCTCCCTTCTCCTCTCTCTAAAAAGAAATAAAATCTTTAAAAACAAAACAAACAAACAAACAAAAAAGAATTACAGCAACGAGTGAGGAGGCGGCTCAGTGGAAGTGTCCGCGTGCTGTGAATGCCGGGCGCTTTGCGGCCAAAGGGTCCTTTGCATTTGTGGTGATTCTGAGGTTTGATTTTCTCCACATTGTTAGTCAGATACTTAACGCTGAGGGTAGGGGTGGGGACAACATGACCAACAGAAAAAGGCCACAGGGAACAGTGAGGCTGACGTCTTCGGGGTTCCCGTCCCCAGGGGCGCAGAGGCCGGGGTGGCTCGGACTCTGAGGGTCACCTTCCCTGCACTTGGGTGAGAGGATGAGGGGCAGGGGGTGGGACCTGCCCCAGGAGAGGGGACAGGCACGGATGTCAGGTGCCGTCAAAGAGCCTGGGGGGTACTGTCCCCCCTTCAGTCCCCACACAAGCCTGAAACAGGCAGTTGTTAACCCCCCTCTCCAGATGAGAAAGCGGAAATTAAATCATTCGCTCCCGGTAACACGGCCAGAAAAGTGGGTAAGGTCAGCTGGAGAAGAGGAAACGCACATGATCTTAGGATGCGTCTCAGCCAGAAGCGTGTGGTGGACGCAAGTACCAAAGACGTAACACTAAGCAAACACAGCGTGTTATAAAGCAGCACGAGTCTGGCGTACCCCAAGTTCATGGAAGCAGACGTGCACGCAACTGCAAACGTGCACAGTGGGGACAAAAAGGGGCGCTGACTCTGACGGGAAGCAACCTCACGAGGCGACCTGATCCTAAGTGACTGTCCAGGCAGGTCACGCGGGGAGTCACGCCCCAGGCCTGTAACTTCTTTAGCGAAAGGCTTACCCTTGCCCTAAGCGAGCCCTGCCCCCTGGGCCTGTGCATCCGGGTTAACCTACTTTGGGAAGGCCTCTCTTCACCAGCCCCCTCCTCCCACGCAGGGTCCACCCTCCAGAGCGCGCCGTCTCGTCAGCTGTCCTGTTGTCCGAGGCCTGCCTTGCTTTCTCCCACCTTCGCGTCATCTTCATTCCGGTCCCTCTTTGGTTCTGGTGCACAAGAGAAAGCGCAACCCTGCCCTCCTCCAGAGCATCTGAGGTCTTGCTTCCCGGTCACTGCCATTCGTTTGTTGCGTCAGCGGAAAAGGCCGACCGCTCCCAGGGCAAGTGCAACCGGCTGGTCGGCCCATCCGCCCACCTACCCATACATCTGTCCATCCGTGTCTGCCCACCCACCCACCCATCCATTCATACTTTCATACACCCATCCACCCATCCATATCCACCTACCCATCTGCCCATCTATTAATCAATATCTATCCACCCACCCACCCACCCATATCCACTCATCCATCTGTATTCACCCACCCCCATCCATACCCACCCACCCACCCCTCCATCCACCCATCCAGTTGCTGGTGCCGGAAACACTTTTGTCTGTGGCCATGGGAAGAGCACCCTCAGACTTCCACCGGAGGACCAGGGCGGGCCCTGACAGAGCTCCGCGCAGGGGCCGCAGAAAAGCTCCGAGCTTTCTCTTGGTCAGCTGCCCCACCTCCGGGGCCCGGACCAGCGACCCTGCTGCCCGGGAGTCGAACTCCTCCTCCCAGCAGATGCACAGCAGCGGCAAAGAGGAGGGGCCATTTCTCCGCCACTCAACAGCCCCACATTCAGTGCGGCCGCCGCGGGCTGGGGTCGAGACCTACCGGGCGCTTGGTGAGGTCCCAGTTGTGGATGATCCTGGCTGGAATCACTGAGGCATCGTCTTGGTGGCAGATGTCACAGTAGTAGAGGCCAGAGAAGGCACAGAGCTTGGGTCGGACGAACGAGAAGCCGATCTGCCGGGAGCAGCCTGGGGAGAAGGATGGTGGGAGGGTGAGCGGCGGCTCCCGAGGAACGCGGAGGAAGCTGCTAGGGTGGAGGGGCCTGCTATTTAAGGAAAGTATAAAGGTTAAAAAAAAAATAAGTGTACGAGAGTGAGATCCGCTGCCACGCAGAATCAACCCCATTAATCAATCTTCACGAGAGTTCAAAGTCGGGTTTTGTTGGTTCTGGAGCCCGCGCTCCGCGTCCCCGCCGCTTGCTGACCATCGCCGACCCCCTCCTGGCCTGTCCCTCCGCTGGGGCCCGGAAGAGGAAGCAACCGAGGCAGGACCTTGGGCAGCAGGGCGGGAGCTGGGGACATGGGGCAGTCCGGACGCTGCCGGGTGCCAGCCGGAAGCCAGCCCTGCTGGAGACCTCAGGGCAGCGGCAGCCCCTCGGCGGGGGGCGCCCCCCAGCGGGGAGCAGCGGGAGCGGGAGCCGGTGTGCCCCGGGCAAAGCAAAGGCCCGGCTCCAGTCCAGAGCAGTGCGCAGCCCCTCCCCCACGGGGCCAGGGGAAAGCGTCCCCTCCGGCCTCAGGACCAGAAAGGCCGGCTCCTCTGCTTACCAGTTACCTCACCCTGACCTTCACCGAACTTTTGCCGGGTTTCATTCCGGTGTCTGCACAATTCGGCTACTACTGGCTATTCTGCGGGGTTATGACAAAGTTTAAAGGAGACCGGTTTTGAAAGTGCCCCACAAACTATGAAACGCAAGCCGAACGGCAGTGACTGGTGCCTGCCTGGCCCCTGGGCTGTGCCCACGGGCGGAGAGGAAGCCCCGGCTCCCCAGCTCCAGTCTCGCCCGCAGGTGGGCGGCGGGGACAGTGCGAGCCGCCCCTCCTACCCCGGCGGGCATTCACTCACACCCACGAGTGCAAACTACCTCGAAGGGTGTGAGGGTTGGTAGGGGAGCTGAGGCTTGAAGAAGTGTTCTGCCGGAAGCTCTGCCCTGTCTAGCTTCTCCCACCCTCCAGGGGTACTGACCACAGACCACTTCCTCCCAGACACCTGAAGCAGGCCTTCCCTGCCAGTCCCCCGGGGCTCCGCCCCATGGGACAGCTCCTACATCTCTCGCAGCCCAGGCCTGTTGCACGGACACTCTGCAGCACGCAAGCTTCGCACAGCTCGCCAGGAGGGCCGGGGGCGGTGGGAGTGGCTGGTTCCACTGAGGGGGAGGAGCTAAGGATGGAACTTGAGCAGCGGAATCGCAGGCAGCCTTGAAGACAGGGGAGAGCAGGGCCGCCAGGGACCTGTGAAGAGCGCAGGCTCTGGGACCAACGCGGTCCTCACCTGGCTCCACCACTTACTACCTGTGTGGACTGGGGACAGGTCCTTACCGGCCCTGTGACTCAGTTTCCTCAGCTACGCACAGAGATAATGGTAGCTGCTCTCCCTACAGGGTGGTTGTGAGGATCAGATGAAACGATCCAAACAGACTTGAGAAGCACCTGGCCCAGCCCCCCGCACAAAAGTGGACTGGATGATGGCAATGAACTAGCAGATGCACTGACTCGGAATAATGTCCACGATGTATTTTTAACTAGAAAAAATCCAAGTTGCAGAACAATATATATACTGCTATGCCGTCCAACATGGTGGTCACGAGACACGTGACCTTTTAAATTTATTTATTTATAATTTTTAAAAAATTTATTTTTAGAAAGAGGAGAAGGGAAGGAGAAAGAGAGGAAGAGAAACAATGTGTGGTTGCCTCTCACATGGCTCCTACTAGGGACCTGGCCTGCAACCTAGGAATGTGCCCTGACTGGGAATCAAACCAGTGACCCTTTGGTTTGCAGCCCACACTCAATCCACTGAGCTATACCAGCCAGGGTAGCCTTTTAAATTTAAATCAACATCAGCTCTGGCTGGTGTGGCTCAGTGGGTTGAGTGCTGGCCTGCAAACCGAAAGGTCTCCAGTTCTATTCCCTGTCAGGGCACATGGCTGATTTGCGGGCCAGGTCCTCAGTAGGGGGTGTGTGAGAGGCAATCACACATTGATGTTTCTCTCCCTCTCTTTTCTCCCTCCCTTCCCCTTTCTAAAAATAAATAAATAAATATTTTAATCAGCTTCAATTAAATACAAAATTCAGCTTGTTAGTCACATCTTAGGGACCTGTGGCCACATGTGGCTTGTAGCCAGTGAACTGGACAGCAGAAATCTATGACCTTTCCGTCCACATAGAAAGTTGTATTGGACAGTGCTGAGTAGTATGAGACTGTTTTTGTAATTAAAAAAAAAATTGTGTGCACTTGCAAGAGCATGCAAAAACTCGTGAGAGGGTACCACGTCCCTACTCCCAAATAATACGATCACGCGGTACTACGGTGATGAAGGGGGTGGAGCGCTCTGAGCCCCATAATTCCCTAAGCAGAGAGGGTCAGGCACACAGTAGGGCCGCCACCCGCGGGTTGCACTGCAGAGCGGCACGGAGGGAGGCTCCCGCAAGCAGGGGCACCGGCCCTCCTGGGTGCTGGGAGGAGCAGATGCTCTTCGCTGCAACCGCTGCAAACAGCTGCAAACAGCCTCATTTGCTGCAACACCCCAGGAGTGGGATGGGGCCACTCTCGGAGGGACAGGAAGGGGTGCAGAGCCTCAAACAGGAACCCCACCGGAGACGGAGGGAGGCTGGGGAGCTGGAGGAGCTGGGGGTGGCGGGAGGGCGCGGCGGCACCTGCACAGAAGCAGCCCTGGGAGTCGAGGCCCTTCTCCGTGGGGATGGCCACCAGGTACTGCAGCAGGAAGCCGTTCTCCCCGGTGGCGAACTTCAGCACCTCCTGACAGTTCTGGTCCAGGCTCCCGCCCAGCGTCACCGCCTCCTCGGCCGTCTCCAAGTAGGATGCCAGCACCTTGCGCACCAGGTCCCTCCAGGAGGCGGCCTCCTCCGCAGAGCTGGCCTGCAGCTTCAGGACGGCCTTGGCCGTGATGATTTTGAAGAAGGACGGCCCCCCGAGGCTCGTGTCTGGCAGGATGTCTCGTATGGTCTCAACGCCATGGCTGTCGCTCAGCACCTTCTCGTCGTTTCTCACGCGGAAGCATTTCAAGGACTCCAAGGACAGGGAAAAAACGTAGGGCGTCCAGGTCCTGTCCGCGTACAAGTACAGGAGGGATTCTTTGATCGCGTCTGGCTCGGGCACTTGGGCAGAGGACCAATCGAGCTGCGTGCCCTGGAGGGCTTCGGGCTCCGTGAGCGAGTCCGAGTGGGAGGGGGGGCCGCCCTGGGGGCCGTCGGGGAGGTCGTCGGGCAGCTCTGGGTACTGGATGTTCACCCACTCGTCCTCCTGCTGGGGCCGGCACTTCTGCAGGGCCTCCCGCACCCGGTCCAGCCAGTCCTCGGCCTCGTCCTGGGAGGAGGCCCGCAGGGTCAGCTTCTTGCCGGAGAAGACCAGCTCGAAGCGGCCGTCGCTGTGGGCCGGCCCCACGGACTCACAGCGCAGCAGCGAGCAGTTCTCCACGCAGGTGCGCTCCTCGCCGTTCAGGTAGAGGCGGAACTCCAGCGGGGACAGCTCGCAGAAGAGCTCCTTCCAGATGCCCATCGCTCCCCGCCGCTCCACGGTGCCCAGCTTCATGAGACCCCGGAACGGGTTGGACAGTCCTGGGGGCGGAGAGAGGCACTTTAGACAATGGGCCTGTCCTTTCACCACCTAAGGAAAAAACCCCCGGAGCCCGCTGTCCTGTGGGTACAGACAGAGTGTCACCAGGACACAAGCCAGCCACTGCAGGGTTTCAGGCAGAGGGACGTGATCTGACATATTCTACACGAGGGAGTCACCCTGGGTCAAGGTTGAAGGACGACAGGGGGACAAAGACCAGTTAGGAGACTATCGTCATAACCCAGGCCAGGGCCCTGCCTGGGGTGGCTCAAGTGGATTGAGTACCAGCCTGTGAACCAATGGGTTGCTGGTTCGATTCCCAGGCAGGGCACATGCTTGGGTTGTGGGCCAAGTTCACACAACCCAAGTGCTTGACAGGCAACCATACACTGCTGTTTCTCTTCCTCTCTTTCTCTCCCCCTTCCCCTCACTAAAAATAAATAACATCTAAAATTAAAAAAACAACAACAACAACAATAAAAAACCAGGCCAGGGATGTCAGTGAACCCTGAGGCGGTGGCCGTGGTGACTAGTGGAAGGTTCTGCATGTGCAACAAGATCTGCTGGTGGATTTGAGGTGCGGAGCGACACAAGGAAAATCAAGGATGACTCCAAGGCCAGCATCTGGGAGGAGCAGGCTGGCCATTTCATGACACGAGCCGAGAAGCAGGTTTGGAGTGGGAGGATTGGGACGTCCTTTTTGGACACGTCACCTTCGAGAAGCCCACTGGGCGTGCGTGGAGCAGATGGAGATCTGAATGCGAAGTTCACGGTCAAGGTTCACAGATCAAAACTGGGGGGTTGTTGGCATAAAGCCCTTGCGAGTGGGTGAGACCGGCTGGGAAGTGGGTGTCAGTAGAGAAGGGGACCAGCACTGAGTGCTGAAATGCAACAATTGAACCGCAGAGCTCACCTCATGCTTCCTCCCTCCCTCCCTGTGTCCTCAAATGTCGCCCGAAGTGCCAGGCTCGCTCGGCCATCCTACATGAAACACCGCACTCTGACCCAGCGCTCCCCGACCTGCTGTTCTCCACAGCAGTTATGATCGCCCACCCACACCGTAGGTCTGCTGGCTGATTTTCTAACTTCCTGTCTCTCGCACCAGAACGTAAGCCCCACGAAGCCAGGGACCTTGCCTTCTCCCCTGCTGTGTCCCTAGTACCCAGGTCAGTGCCTGACACATCCCGGGTGCTCAGTTAATATTTGCTGAATGAATGAGTATGTGCCCATGTGCCACACACTGCGCAGTGCCCCCTGCTCCAGGGGGTCTGCCACCAGAGGGCACACGATTCCCCCTCCCAGCCTGGACCACTGCAGAGGGTCCGCCCACTCCTCGGGGAACCTGATGCCCCAGGCACAGAGCACGCCTTCTCCAGCACGGGTACCACCACGTCAGCTGGCCGGCAGAAAACCCTAAGAGCAGCCAGCACAGAGACCAGGGCTGTACCCACACTCCCCAGGCCAGGGCCCCAGGAACCTGGCCAGAGTTCTCGGCTGGGCCACGGCAGACAGAAGATGAGAGAAAGAGCCTGGCTCTAGGGCGCACTTGTCTGCTTGACTGAAAGAGGAAGTTCATTTGTGAGGGTTACGGAAAATCAGGTTATGGTTGCTGGGTGCATTCTGGACTTCACGGGGCAGGGCGGGAGCGGGGAGGCCAAGCTGGCCTCAGCACAAGCAGCGCACGGAGGCCACTGAACCGATCTGATGAAGCCCCCAGAACTGTTAAATAAGCCATCCGAGTCAGAGGCCATGGGAGGGAGCAGCTGAAACTCGGGGGCCTTTGAGAGGCCGGGTTTGCTCCGGGCTCCAGACAGAATCCAGGGTTCTGTATAATGAGATCTACGGGGTGGTTTCAGGGAGGGTATTTTCCACTTAGATATAAGAAACAGCATTTTTGCACTCTGTAGGCAATGTGGGACACCACTTTTCAAGGTCGTGTAACAAAACATAGCACCTTCCCTGCGATGCTTTCTTGAATGGCTCAGGAAGGGGTGGCTCCTTTTTACATTTTGGGATGAGGGTTTTCCGTCGAGAAGACAGCCCCCTGAGTGGTAAGGGAGGAGAGGACTTCAGAGTTCAGAGCTGCTTTCCGAGAGGCGGACCCCGTGGGGAGGCTGCCAGGGACCCCCGACCACCTACCCATCTGCCTGCGGTGCACAACCCGGAAGTTCTTGTGCTCCTGCGCCGCGGCCGCCTTGCAGCCCCTGCTTCCCACGGAAGGCACACACGCTTCGTCCAAGGCCCCCATGGAGGAGCTCTTCCGTGGCCCTTGAGAAAAATGCCTGAGGAACCCGGGCCTGGACTCCGGAGTCCCCCCGGAGGAAGCCACGGAGCGATCGGAAGGACTGGGAGGGCTCTCTGGGGGTTGCTCCCGGGGCCGGTAGAAGTCATCTTCTGAGATCCAGCTCTTGCCTTTCTATTAGGAGAGAAGCAAAGACATGGGCTGTTTTTAAAGTCGTGGGGTTTTTTTTTTGTTTTTTTTTTTTTAACATCTTCATTGAGATAGTCACAGAGTTGGGCAACCGTTACCACCAAGCGGGGAACATCCTCATTACTTGCAAAGCAACTGCATTCCCGTTACCCGTCACTGCTCGTTTCCCCTCAGCCACTGCCGTTCTGGGCAGCCAATCGTACACTTTCTGTTTCCACCGATTTCCCCATTTTGGGCATTTTTGTGTAGATAAAATGTCACAACATGCGGTCACTGTTAACTGGCTTCTTTCCCCTTAGCATCATGTTCTCGAGGTTCATCCACGTTGTAGCACGCGTGTGCTCCGTCCCTTTTCATCGCCAAGTAACATTCCAACGCACGAACGGACCGCGTTTCGTCTACCCACTCGCCAGCTGACGGCCATTTGGGCTTTTCCTGCTCTTTGGCAACTACCAATAACGCTGCCGTGAATGTTCACGCGCCAATTTTTGTGTGGAGATGTGTTTTCCACTCTCTTGGGAGTGAAAGGGATGGGAGCCGGGTCTAACTTTCTGAGGCGCTTCCAAACCGTTTTCCTAAGTGGCTGCGCCATCTTACACCCCCACCGGCCACGTACGAGGGTTCCAGTTGCTCCAAGTCCTCTCTATCACTTGTTATTATCATCTGTTTGTTCGTCTCTCTGACTACAGTCCTCCTGAGGGGCATGAAGCGCAATCCTGAGGTTTTGATTCGCACGTCTCTCATGCCTAACGACCCTGAGCATCTTTTCGTGGGTTTCCCGGTCCCCTGAACGTCTGTCTTCTTTGGAGAAGAGGGTGGAGCAGATTCTTCCCTGAACCGCAGAAGTAATCGACCCTGCCAACTCCTGGGTTTTGGACTTCTAGCGGAGAATGCACTCCTGTCGTTCTAGGCCAACCTGTTTACAGTACTCTGCTACAGACGCCCTAGAAGACAAATACAATTTGCAAATAATTTCTCCAATTCTATGGGCTGTCTTCTCACTTGCCTGATCGCACCCCTTGAGGCACAAAATTTTTAAGTTTTGATGATGTCCAATTCATCTGTTTTTCTTTTTCCTCTGTGCTTTTGGTATTATAGCTAAGAAACTATTAGAAACTATCTAACCCAAGGCCACATCAAGATTAATTCACTCCTGTGTTTTCTGCTAAGAGCTTTGTAGTTTTAGCTCTCAGAACTAGGTCTATAATCTATTTTGAGTTAATTCTGTGTGTGGTGTGAGGAAGGGGTCAACCTTTCCTCTTTTCTATGTGGATATCCAGTTCCCCGCATCGTTTGTCTACGGGATGCAGAGGTTTTTGGTCCTGCTTATCGGGTTTGAGACAAGGTGAGCAGGACCCAGAGTCCTGGCTGGCCACCCCGCCTCTGCTCCCCGCTGCAGAGCAGGCGCCCGAGGCCCCGGCAGCCAGGCCCTTCCCCTCTGCTGCTCTCTCTCTGAGTCTGAAAGCGCTCACTGGCTACGGGATGCAGAGCAGGTCTGGAGCCAGGGGCTCGTGGGAAGGGATTCTACCTTCTTCCCCCCTGCTAGTTCAAGCACTCCTGGTCTATCTGTGCCCAAGTGTGTAAGAGCAGAGGCCAGGAAGCTGGCCAGGGGCCACCGGACACGGCTGTCTACACAGAGGAAATGAGTCACACGAGGGGCGGGACCAGCCCTCGTGTGATTCAACCTGATGCTATTTCCAACCCTTAAATCAGGACTGCCCCCCCCCGTCCCCCCTCCCCCTGCCACAGAGAGGGAAGGGGAGCGGGACTGGGGCTTCCCCAGAAGACTCGGTTTAGACGCTTTAATTCATTCAGACGCTGTAAGACTCCTCCGGCCAACAGGGAGAACTCGGAGTCAGGCACCTGGCAGAGGGGCTGGTGGAGCGCGGCCTCCAGGACTTCCTCTGGGAACCCGCAGCCCCGGCAGCTGCTTCCTTCTGCCGGTGACAGGGCGACGTCAGCGAGGGTGGCCGCAGGGAGCAACCGACACCACGGGACTCTGGACAAAGCCCGACGAGGTCGTCTGGACGCGGGGCGGTGGGGGGGGACTCCCCGAGGAAGACGGGCAGCAGCAACCTCCTGGCGGTCTGGGCTGCCTCACGCAGCCTGGCGCACACACCTGGGGGTCTGGGGCCTCCCAGCCCCTGCTAATGGCCCTAATGGGACCACTGTGCACTGAGACTCAGCTCAGGGGTCATCTACGTACAGTGGCTGCCAACATTTTTGTCACCAGGGACCGGTTTCATGGGAGACAGTTCTTCCATGGAGGCAGGAGGGGTGTGGAAGAGGGGAAACGGAAGGTGGAGCTCAGGCCGTGATGCGAGCAGAGCTTTGCAGGCCCCCCACCACTCACCTGTGGCTCCGCAGCCCCATCCCTAACAGGGCACGGCCTGGTACCAGTCCGCCGCCTGGGGACTGGGGACCCCTGATCTACTACCTCCTCCTGGAGACTTTCCTTCTCCGCCCCCAGCCCGCCCTCCTCCCACTGCCCAGCTGGGCTCCCGGGGCAGCCTAGCCTGACTCCCATCCCAGGACCTGCGACGCTGTTTGGCGCAGAGTCAGAGCAGATGAAAGCATGGGTCTTGGCTTTCCAAACATCTTTCACGTGAAATGACAAGGGCGGGGCGAGGGAGCCGGAAGGAAGGAAGGAGGCGCATGTGCATTCTGAGATGGTGCCCAGTCCCCGGGGAGGGAGCCTCTGTCCATGGCGGCGGGGGAGGCTACTGGGGAATGGGCAGACGCGCTCCAAGGACCACAGGTCAGCCACCAGGGAACGGCACTCTAAGGAAAACCTTCTGTTCCCTTAAGCAGGGGAGAAACATGGTGGGGACACTGGGTCCTTAGAGCTTCTGCACACGGGCCTGGACGGAGCCCTGTGGCTGTGCCCCACGCCTGGGCCCCTGGTTACGAAGCAGAGAGGGAGGCGGGGAAAGAGGAGTGAAGAGCACCATGACCTCCCTTCTCCCGCCCCTTTCACACCGCCTTCCTGCTACCTCCTGCTTTCCCGGGGGCCCACATCTGGCCGGTTCCCTGCCCCTTTAACAGTTGGGGGGGAATCACCATTGGCCAAGGATCTCAGCCAGAGCAGCACCTGATGCCGGGGACCCAAGACAGAGGAATGACACCTGGAGTTACTAAAGGCACTGGGACGCTTTACACAACGGCTAACCCGAGAGGAGTCTGGCCCAGGAGCGAGACACCAGGTCTCTGACCGACAAGGGAAAAGCGTGTTTTGCCCTGCCTGGAGGAGGGAAGCGTGTGCTGTAGGAGGGTGGCCCGTGGGGGCAGTGGCCGCGGCCAGCTCTCAAGCTTCAGGCTGCCTCCTGCAAATGAGGCTGAGCAGCCGGCCCCCACCCGCCCACCCCGGTCCCACAGGCACAGTCCCACTGGGGAGCTCCCCACGCCCCGCACCCGTCCCTCCCAGCACCTCCCACGGTGCAGTTACAGTATCTAATCTGGGGTCTGCGCCCAAAGAGCAGGGCCCTTGTCTGTCTGTCCCATCCCTGTACCGAGCATGGTGCTTCGAACTGAATGAATTTTTTAAAAAGAATTTTAAAGGAAGACTGAATGGCGTTTGGAATCAGAAAACACGGCAGTGAACTCCCCTCCCAATGTGGTAAACAGGCAGCAGTGACTCAGCGACAGGAGCACAGGAAGCTGAGGACCATGGAGGCAGCGCCCAGGGCGCAGCCCCAACCTGCACGAAGGCACGGAGCCCACCCAGTGGCGCCCGCTCGGAGACCACCCAGCGGAGCAATGAACGGCCCGCAACTCCCCTGGGGATGTGGGCTCCGGAAGGGGCCAGCGTCCGAGGAGCTCACGCTGGACTCAGCGGCGGGGACTGCGAGTCCACGTTACAGGAGGCGGAGTCTGCCCTGGCCAGGCCGACCCGCCCACCCCTGCACTCGGCCGTGCGCTTCTCAGTGTACACTTACGAGCTGGCATTTCAAGAGTCTCCGGAGAGTTCGGGAACTATTCATGGATACCCACTGCCTCCCAGGCACAGTGCTCGGAGCTCACAGTACAGGAGTGAACGGACACGGCCTTTCACGTCACGGAGCCAATATTCCAGTCAGGAAGACAGAACAGAAGCAAGCAGACGAGTAAAGACACACTATAATTTCACGCAGGGACGAGAGTCACCAAGTGAAGCAGGTGAATGGGAAAGAGTTGTTCCTGCCGTGAGGTCGGGTGGCGGGGGGACTGGGGCGACAGTGCGGAGGCGGGGACAGAGACGCATGAGTCAGAAGGGGGCCCAGGCACAGGGCACGGACAGTGGAAATGCCTGCGGCTGGAAGGAACTTGCTCTGTCTCGAGTGGCATGAAGGCCAGGGGGTCGAAAGCTGGTGAGCAAGAGGAGGAGCTCCGCTGACGTGGGAAGCTGCCTTGCCCAGATGCCGCCGGTGAGGGGAGAACGGGCAACGCTGACGTATCACTGATGTGAGGACAGCTTAGCACGAGCACCGTCAGAAAACCTTTTGGCGGTGCGTGCGAAAGCTAAAACATATGCCTACCCAATGACCTAGCAATTCCGCCGCTAAATATATACCCACAGAAATGGGACACAGGGCCCTGGCCGGGTAGCCCAGTTGGTTAGAGCATCGTCCCGATATGCCAAGGTTGCAGGTTCGATCCCCAGTCAGGGGAGGTACAAGGATCAACCAGTCAATGCATCCATAAGTGGAACAGAAAGTCAATGTTTCTCTCTCTAAAAATCAATAGATAAAAGTCACGGTTAAAAAAAACGAGTTAACAGGTTCACGGAAAGGCTAGTCCCAAAAATGTGCACAGCAGCTTTCTCCATGAGAGCCCCAAAGCTGGACACAACCCAAATGTCTGTGAGTGGGAGCGTGGAGAAACACACTCCGATACGTTCTCACTGTAATAAAATACTGTAGAGCAATGGGAAGGACCAGGCTACAGCCCCATGCTGTGTGTACAGTTCGTGAATCTCAGATACAATTGTCAGTGAAAGAAGCAAATGAGTAGATATTCTATGACTGCACTTATATCAAGTTAAATGACAGGAAAAACGGATCTCTGGTTTCCTTTGATGGGCTGGAGACACTCGACATCGCGATGCGGATGGCGGTCACAGAGTGCACATCACACATGATTACTCACGGAGGCACACCCTCGGGGCTCGGTACTTTAAATACATCACATCTCAGAACTTTTTAGAAGGGGGAAGTCAGAGTCTTTTCGACAAATTGTGCTGCTACAACTGGATATGCAAATGAATGCAGTGGGACGTCACCCTTATACCATATATAAAAATTCACTCAAAATGGGTCCCAGATCTAAATGTATGAACTAAGAACAACAATAAAAAAAAACACAAAAAAGAACTAAAACTATAAAAATGTTAGAGTAACACATAGGAGTAAATCTTCATGACGTGACTAGGAAATGGGTACTTAGAAGCAACATCAAAGCACAAACAACAAAGAAAAAAATAGATAAACTAGACTACATCAAAATTTAAAACTTTTATGCTGCAAATGATACGATCAAGAAAGTGAGAAGAGCCCTGGCTGGTGTAGCTCAGTGGATTGAGCGCGGGCTGAGAACCAAAGTGTCGCAGGTTCGATTCCCAGGCAGGGTACATGCCTGGGTTGCAGGCCATGACCCCCAGCAACCGCACACTGATGTTTCTCTCTCTCTCTCCCCTTCCCTTCTCTCTTTAAAAATAAATAAATAAAATCTTTAAAAAAAAAGTGAGAAGAGCCCTGGCCGGGTGGCTCAGTTGGCTGGAGCACTGTCCCATACTCCAAAAGGTTGCCGGTTCGATCCCTGGTTGGGGCACGTACTTAGATTGCAGGTTTGATCCTTGGTCGGGGCGCGTATGGGAGGTAACTGATCCGTATTTCTCTCACATTGATGTCTCTCTGTCTCTCCCCCCCTCTCCTTCTCTCTCTCTCTTCTTCCTCTCTCTCTAAAATCAATACAAATATCCTCAGGTGAAGATTTAAAAAGTTAATTAAAAAAAAAAGCAAAAAACCAACTCACAGAATGGGAGAAAATATCAGCAAATTACATATCTAAGAAGGGTCTAGGATCCAGAATATATAAAAAACTATTATAACTCTTTATTAACCAATGTCACCCCAATACATTCAATAGGAAGTAAAAAAAAACCCTTATTATAACTCAAGAATCAAAAGACAGATAACCCTGGGCAAAGGTTCTGATTGCATTTCTCTAAAGAAGATACAGAAAGGACAACAAGCACACGAAAAGATGCCCCACATCACGGACCATCAGGGAAACGCAAATCCAAACCGTGATGAGACGCCCCTTCTCACCCACTAGAGTGGCGGCCACAACAACAACGACGGTGACAGTGAGGACGATAAGGACCGCCGGCGAGGACGCAGAGGGACTCCCTGCTGGTGAGAACATGAAGTGGGGCGGCTACCTCGGAAAATGGGCTGCCAGTTCCTCAGAAGGGCAACCAGAGTTATGATCCAAAGGTTTCACTCCTAGGTACGCACCCAAGAGGTTTAAAAACACGTCCACCCAAAATCCTGTACATGAATGTGTACTGCAGCATTATTCCTAATAGCCAAGAAGCGGGGAGAGGGGGAACACCCCCCAAATGTCTATCAACTAACAAAGGATAACTAAAATGTGACAGATTCATACAACTGGATCTACAACAAAATACTGCTCAGCAGTAAAAAGGAATGAAGCAGGGATGCATGTGACAAATGGATGAACCTTAAAACACTGTGCTAATTGAAAGAAACCAACTTCGAAAGGCTCCGTATTGTAAGATTCTATTACGTGATACGTCTAGGAGAGCAAATCTACGGCCCGAGCAGATCAGTGCTTGCCGGGGCTGCGGGGAATAAGGTAGGGGGAGGGGCGAGGGTTGGAGAGTGCCTGCTAATGGGCAGGGATTTCTCTGATGGGAGATCAAAAGGTTTTAAAATTGGGTATCAGTGATGGTTGCAAATCCCTGTGAATATACTAAAAAAAAACAAACAAACGAATTCTGTACTTTAGTTAGGTGAATTGTATGGTATGTGAGTTTATCGCCATAAAGTTGTTTTGAAAGGGCGCGTGTATGCACATGCCCTTTTAGCCTGCTTCATGGCCCCGGTCCCATCCTGGGTTATATAGGATCTGGAAGCTACCGGCCGAAGGGCAGACGTGCGCGGACGGAGCTGAAGAGCGAGACCACGCACCAGTGCCGACAGGCGCCCCAGGCAGCGGCAGGGGCAAATTCTGCGCTTTGCATGTCCACGCGCACACGTGCGCGCTGTCCCTACCCCTGCATTCCCGGACACAGAAACACACGTCAAATGGCCGGACAGCCTGTGTGCACGGGCTTGACCGCTGCTCCACGGGGCCAGCGGCGCTCGGCCTCACTGCCCAGGTCCAGTCCCAGGACCGACCTGCCCCCAGTGATCTACAAACTGCACGGCTTACCGCGGGGTGGCGCTGTTCTACAAAGTACACTGGCTTACCGCGGGGCAGCGCTGTTCACCAGAAGCACAACGTGAGTCACACGTGTCATTTTAAATGTCCCGGCAGCCAGCCCCAGCTAGTGTGTGTGGCTCAGTGGATAGAGCGCCAGTCTGTGAACCAAAGGGTCACCGGTTTGATTCCCAGTCAGGGCACATGCCTGGGTTGCGGGCCAGGTCCCTAGTAGGGGGCGTGCAACAGGCAACCACACATTGATGTTTCTCTCCCTCTCTTTCTCCCTCCTTCCCCCTCTCTAAAGATAAATATAATCTTTAAAAAAAAAATGCTCTAGTAGCCACATTTTAAAAAATGTAAAAGTAGGTGATATGTAAATAATTAATGAGAAATCTTACATTCTTTTCCCCATACTAAGTCTTCAAAATCCACTGTGTGTTTTACATGGGTCATCTGAATTTGGACAGCCACAATTTTGGGCGTTCAACAGCCTCATGTGGCTGGTAGCTGCCAAACTGGATAGTACAATTCTTTTTTTCCTTTCTTTTTAAAAGATTTTGTTTGTTTGTTTGTTTGTTTGTTTATGGGGGGAGGCGGAGACAAAGAGAGGGAGAGAAGCATCCAACATGTGGTTGCCTTTCATATGCCCCAACCGGGGACCCAGCTGGCAAACCAGGCATGTGCCCTGACTGGGAATCGAACTGGTGACCCTTCGGTTTGCAGGCTGGCACTCAACCCACTGAGCCACACCAGCCAGGGCTGGGTAGCACAGCTCTAAATCTGGATCGTGTTGCAAAGTGAGTATTTTCAAAGGTATTATATAACAATATTGCTGAATTAATAACAAGTGCGGAGGAGGGGACCCAGGCTCAGGGAGATGGCGAGCCTCTCGCCCAAGGCCCGCAGGCGTTAAGGGGCAGCGGTTGAGAGTGGAGAGTCTGTGGTGGACGAGAACTATCTTCTCCCAGAGTGATGTGAAGATAACAGAAGGTACCCCTGGGAACTGAAAAGCACGGCACCCTCTACTCACACACCGAGGAACAGTAGCTCCATCATCACGATGCTGTCCACACTAACACCACACAGGCAGACGGGGTAAGTGGGGAGAAGGCAGAGCCCACTCGGGGCAACCCCGGCCAGAGCAGACACATTTCACCAGCACCACCCCCAGAACGGCCTGTCCCACTCACCGGACTGGTGGGTGAGGAGACCACGGGGCTCAGTCCAGCTCCGCCACCCACCGACGGCTTCTGCTGGCCAATGCCTTGGCCGAGTGCTCTCATAGGATGGGAAGGCTGCTGGTCTGACGTGCTTCCCAAAGTGACAGCGTGGTCCGTGCCCAGGTGCTGCAAGGCCCGGGAGCCAGGTGCCTGGGGAAGTGGCTCCTGCGTGGGGCCACCATCCCAAGCCCCAGGGGCTGCTTGGGGAGGGACGGGCCCTGCAGGCGCATCAAAGTGCAGGCGTGTGCTGGTGTCGAGGCGGGCACTGTGGAGGGCGCCACGGAGGGACAGCGAGGCCTCCAGCGTGGGGATCCCCGGTTCTTGGCTCAGTCCGTTGGTTGGCACAGAGTTTACCTGGGCTTTGCTGAACTCCGACAACACCCTGGAAGGTTTTAAACAAAGAGACCCGTGTGACAGGTTGTCAGCTAGAATGCCCAAGGCCCCGGGGACAGTGGTAGGAGTGGAAAACTGCTGTTTTGGGATTTAAGAAACAAACACTCTGGTCATCACCCACTGCCCTCCTCTGGCCCTCCCCACAGTCTGTCCCCAGCTGGGACCCAGGCACAGAGGGTGGGCAGGGCAGCTGTGCAGCCCAGGATCTCAGGGGAAAAGCCCAGAGAGCAGAGAGACAGGACTTGATGTGAATGGGAATGGGAACCGATTGCCTCTACCTTCTGCAGAGGCTAACTGGAGAGTTTGCTCGGCCATATGAATGGTTACGGGGGCAATCATTTCCCCAAACCGACTGCAGCATGGGCCCGTGAACCGTGTACCAGAGCTGGGCTCCCCAAGAGCACTGAGGCATCAGGACTCCACCCATGAGACACAGACTTAGTGGCAGTGAGGACCGACTTTGTTCCCAGAACAGTAACTGGGCAGCAGGGTTGGGGTGAGGTGCAAGGGCTGGTCCACCCTAGAGCTGGACTGGCCACAGAGTCAGAGAAGGCTCCCATGCCCAGACATTGCTGCTGGGAATCCGTGAACACAGGTGTGCAGGTGTGTACACAAGTATGCATGAGGTGTGCCCCTGCTCACTCCTCCACAGGGACTGGCTCTTTCTGCCCCTAAGTGGTGCTTCTGGGGCCTCAGGGAGCCAGTGCTGCTGCCTTTGCGTGCACACACACACACACACACACACACACACACGTCTGGGCCTTCTGGAATGTGCACGGGCTAGTGGCTGCTCCGCCCTCCCTCTCCTGAGGCTTCTGAGGACCCAAGTTCCATTTCTGAAGTACACCTATTAGCCAGCTCCACTTCTGCTTATGAACCCAGTTGACTCCGTCGTGGACCAATGCAGGCTCGGATCCAACAACGCTGCCTGGAGCTCCTGCCCTCACGGCTTAGCCTGGGTCCAGGAGACACATCACATTCCCCTCGGTTAATGTGGTCACTATTTGACCTGACTCGGAGATGACAAGAGACTCTGCCCCACCCAAATTACTAGTAGTCACAGCCAACCCTTGTAGCTGACTGGCCTGGGTAAACAGCGTCCCCCCCCCCCAATGATCTGCCAACAGCAACCAAGGCTCAACTACAAGAGGAGGGTGTACTCAGACCATATGAAGGGCACACCTTGAGTATCCAGCTTGGGTGATAGGGGAAGCTGTGCCACTGGACCCTACAAGACACCTACTACATTAGGCCTTGGTACCAAGACAGCGAGTCATAGCAGCTCTACCTAATACACAGAAACAATCACAGGGAGGCTGCCAAAACGAGGAGACAAAAAAAACATGGCCCAAATGAAAGAACAGATCAAAACTCCAGAAGACGAGCTAAATGAAATGGAGACAAGCAATCTATCAGATACAGAGTTCAAAACACTGGTTGTAAGGATGGTTGAGGAGCCTAGTGAGGACCTCAGCAGCATGAAGGAGATCAGTCAGAAACGAAGGATACACTAATTGAAATAAAGAACAATTTATAGGGAAACAGCAATACAGTGGATGAAGCCAAGAATCAAATCAATGTTCTGGAATATAAGGAAGCAAAAACAACCAATCAGAACGACAAGAAGAAAAAAGAATCCAAAAAAATGAGGGTAGTGTGAACAGTCATTGGGACACCTTCAAGAGGTCCAACATTTGTATCACAGGGGTGCCAGAAGACAATGAGAAAGAGAAAGGAATTGGAAATCTCTTTGAAAAGATAATAAAAGAAAAATTCCTTAATTTGGTGAAGGAAATAGACATGCAAGTCCCGGAAGCACAGAGTCCCAAACAAGATGGATGCCAAGAGGCCCACTCCAAGAAACAACATAATTAAAATGCCAAAGGTTAACAATAAAGAGAGACTCTTAAAAGCAGAAAGAGAAAAGCAGTTAGTTACCTACAGAGGAGTTCCCATAAGACTGTCAACTGAGTTCTCAAAAGAAACTTTGCAGGCCAGAAGGGATTGGCAAGAAATATTCAAAGTCATCAAAAGCAGGGACCTACAGCCAAGATTGCTCTATCCAGCAGAGATATCATTTAGAATCAAAGGGCAGATAAAGAGCTTCCCAGACAAGAAAAAAACTAAAGGAGTTCATCATCACCAAACCATTATTATATGAAATGTTAAAGACACTTATTTAAGAAAAAGAAGATCAAAACTATGAACAATAAAATGGCAAAAATACATATCTATCAACAATTAAATCTAAAAAGCAAACTAAGCGAACAAGAAGAACAGAGACAGAATCATGGATACACAGAGTGTTTTCATGGTTGCCAGGTGGGAGGGAGTGTGGGGGAATGGGTGTCCCCTTTCATGGGTGAGGGGACTAAGAAGTACAAATTGGTAGTTACAGGATAGCCATGGGGATGTAAAGTACAGTACAGGAAATGGAGTAGCCAAAGAACTTACACACATGACCCGTGGACATGAACAATGGTGGGGGAATGGCCTGAGGGAGTGGGCGGTGCTGGGTGGAGGGGGGGCAAAGTCAGAACAACTCTAGTAGCATAATTAATAAAATATAGTAAAATAAATAAATAAAAACAGCAATAAAAATTCAGGAGTGCCACTTGCAGGCAACAACAGGCAACGATGAGTTCTGGAAGCAAAGGGCTAGTTTACACAGGCAAAGGAGGGAGGGGCATTTGCTGACCAGTTGTATGTGTCCAAACTACTGCGACTGAATGGGGCCACGTTCCAAAAAGAACTAGGGGGACAGATTTTTGACAAATATCCCCTGGGAGCTCCTCGTGGGCTCCTGGGAGGTGGTGTTGTGAGTAGAGGCAGGGACCCATAGTTCTGGCCTTGGTTAGCACATTGCTAAGCCGCCCACAGCAGGTCCCTAAAGTTCAAAGATTTAATTCCCTTATCTGTAAACAGGTGTGGTAACAAAACCCACCTTTATGGCTGCGACAAAGATCAAATGAGATAATACAGGTAAAATACTTAGTAGAGTGTCTGGCCCCAGTGAAACACTCAATAAATGTTAACCCCAATTTGTTACTGTAGCTGTTTTTATTATTATTGATAAGACTGCTCCGCCTCCGTGTCTACAAATATAAAACCGGAAGGAAAGGAGCAGAATTATGGAAACACTCACTAGTGTTACTACCAAAGTGGTGACCAGTTGTAAATGAGTCCTAACCTGTAAGAAAGATTTTAATGAGAGAATAGATTGGGTGTTAGAATAAGTGAGTGATGATGCCTAAAGAAATGCCACAAAAAAGCAAGAAGCTACCCTGGCTGGTGTGGCTCAGTGGATTGAGCTCGGGCTGCGAACCAAAGCATCGCAGGTTCGATTCCCAGTCAGGGCACATGCCTGGGTTGCAGGCCACGGCCCCCAGCAACCGCACATTGATGTTTCTCTCTCTCTCTCTTTCTCCCTCTCTTTCCTCTCTAAAAATAAATAAATAAAATCTTTTAAAAAATAAAAAAGTATATAATCTTTATTATATATAAAAAAAGCAAGAAGCATGTGCAATAAATTAGAGCTTCCACCAAACCAAAACCAAGGTCAAGGTGAAATCAAGTTCACGGAACTTGACCAGAATCAGTGCTGGTCTTCTGGACCCAATGAGAATAAGGGAGAAGGTGCCTCAACTGGAAAAAGTGCCAGAGATCAGATTTTGAAGGAAAGGCAAAAGACAGAAAACTTTGAAAACCTTTGAAGGAAATGAAACAGAAATTAAACAGTGAAATTGCTACTGCCTACCCACTTCTGTCTGGCTCAGGGCAGTGGTTTTTGAAAACATTTTGTTCCCAAACTCTGCAACTCTATGCACTGAGAAAACCATCTGAAAAGTGTATGTGTTCTAAGCGCATGTATCTACTACACATATGGAGGAGAAATAAATAAGAAACGTGGCCTGGAGACCCCAGGTGGCTGCCATATAAAGAACCCCCGCCAAGAGGTTCTGAGCCTGTGGTTTTCCTGAACGTGCAGACTCTCGTCCTGGCGGTGCGTGGCAGTCACCAGCAAATGCGCAGAGGCGGGCTGAGCACGCTAAGAATCATTTCCTCCAAGGGAAGGCCTCGCGATAACATCTGACGAATGTTAAAACCAGCCCTTTGCAGCAGTGTTTATAGAGGCAAGGAGTGGCGGAGCTGAGGTTACTGGCTCTCAGAGTACTCGGCAGAAAATGACGATCACACCACCTATTGGGCACTCGCCATGCGCCAGGCACTGCTCTGAGCACTGTCTCAACTCATTTCATCTTCCCGGCATTCCTTCAAACGTTGCTGTTCCCGTTTTACAGGTGAGGACATCAAGGTCGGACAGACCGAGGAACCTGTCCTGGGTCCAAAAGCAGGTTAAGGGAGACTCAGGCGGTCTGGCTCCCCGGAGTCCACACTCTTTACCAACAGAACGCACCCGCGCTTCTCAGGGGTCATTATAATTCAGGCCCAACACGCACAGAAGAGGCTACGCTGGCAGTCAGTTCTCTGTTCATCAGACCAACTGCAATTTGGTTTTAGTGAAATATTACATCAGTACATTTCATTTTGAATGTTAGTGTTTTATATTTTTATGTTTAATTTGTAGATGTTTTGATTTTATAGTTATAAGCACACAGCATTTACACTTAATTTTTAAGTTACACTTAAGTACTATAATAAAAGTAGCCGAAGTGACCTCGTAAGTGTTGGTGAGAACCTCTACTCCTGAAACACGCACCCCACGACAGGCCGGTCCCTGCGGCTGCTCCGAGACTAACCTCACCCCCGGCGCTAAGAAGGCTGGGTGTGTGTTTGTGCATCTGTGCGCCCAGTGTGTGCTGGTTCCTTACACACTGCCCCGTGCTGGCCTGTCCATCCTGGCCTTCTCCCCTCGAGTTCCCCATAACCACCAGACAGAGTGGTCGGTCACTGCCTTAACAACCTCAAGCTGGAATTTTCCCATCACAAGACCGATGCAAGATAAAGGCAAAACACATGACGAAGGGAAGGCCGGCCAGTCCGTGGGAGGAGGGAGGGGCCACCGAGGACTGAGGCTCACAAAACGAGCCTATGTTCTGCGCAGGCGCAGCCATACCGGGCCGGGACTGCCCCATTCCAGCAAGTGCTGCCCGGCTCCTCCCACTCGGCACTGGAAAGTTCTGTCTACTGTGCGCAGGACTCGGAAGCCGGTTCCGGTGCCTACCAGACATTCTTTCGTGCGCAACTCACTCACAGGCCTCTGACTTGATCCTCGAACTACCGCGGGAGAGCACCTCCGTTTCATAAAGATAAGAAGAACAGAACCTCAAAAAGAGCCTGCTATTTGCCTGACAGTACTGGGCTTGTAAGGGGCAGAGCAGGGCTCGAAACTCGACCTGCTCCAAGTCGGTCCAGTACGCCTCCCCAAACTGGTGGTGTTCCCACACCGGGCAGGAGCCCTGTAAGGACCTGAGCCAAAGGTGGGAGGTGGTGGGGGGCAGCAGGAGTGAAAAAGCAGGTCCCAAACGGGGGCTGCTGAAATGGGGATAGGTGGCAGGAAATGCTCAGTAGAAGGTTACCATTTTTTTACCCATGAGCTGAGCAAATATCCAGTGTGATAATGCCTTCTGTTGGCAAGGCTGAGGGGACATTCCTGATGGGGTGTAAAAGGCCGTATCTGTGAAAATTATAAATTAATCTACCCTTTGGCTCAGCAGTTCTGCTCCTGGGAGTTCACTGAACAGAGGTAACTGCACAGAACTAGAAGACCACACACGCAGGGTTACTCACAGAACACTGACCCCCGAAGTCCATTAAATGTAGGGCTGATTCAATAAACCAAAGTACGTTCACAGAATGGAAAAACATGTCACAGGGGGAGAAGGAAAGAAACTCTGATATGAAAAGATCTCTAAAAGTAGGTGTAGAACAGTGTGTTTATTACTAGCTTTTGTGGAAAGAGGTGGGAGAATAAGAAGTAAAATTTTAAAGTAGGCATGTGCATATTATCAGATGCATTTAAAAACGTTTGAAGAATATGCAAGAAAAGAATTACGGTTATGGGGTGGAAAGATTTTATACTAGACACATGTTAGATTTTTGTAATTCTTTTTTTAAACTATAGTTTATTTTTTATTTTTTCCCATTACCATTTATATTTATCTATCCCTGCCGTGCCGTACCCTCCCACCTCCACCTGCTTCCCTCCCCCTACACGTTATCTATTTTTAACCATAAATATACATTAGCTATTCAAAAATGAATGTTAAAAAGCCAGAAGAGGGAAGGCTCTGCCCAGGCTCCCTTCCCCAGCCAGTGTCCCAGCTGCGCCCACACCTGGGCTGGGTCCCACGGCTCCGCCCCCTCCTCCGGGCCTCTAGGAGGTCTTCCGTGAGGTCGCAGAAGATCACCCTTAGGCATCAGGCTCTACTGTATTTTTTGGAAGACGTACATATAGCTTTGAACTGTTAGTTTCCTTCTCTCTCGGTAAAGAAGAAAATTAATATTTTACACCGAGTCCCAGTGAGATTAAACAACTTGTCGAACGTCCCCCAGGACGGAGTCGGAGCTCAAACCAGCCCTGAGCCCCGTGGGAACCCACATTCTGCCCCCAGTTACAGGCCCCAGCGACTCCCATCCCTGAGGAAGGGGGACGGTGTTCCCTGTGCCCTTCCTCCCGCCCTGACAGAGCTCAGGGTGGTGACGGGCGGTCACATGCTGCAGAAAGGAAGGGAAGGAGGGTGGGAAAGGGGGAGGAGGAGGAGGAAGAAGAAAGAGGGAGGGGGCGGAGGAGAGGTACTCACTCCTGCAGAGACGGGTCTGAGTCATCCGCGTTGGCTGTCCCCGGGTCCGAGTCGTAGGACATGGGCTCCTCGGAGTGATCGGGACTCTTGGAGCCGTTCTCCTGGAGCGGGAGGCTGTCCGAGTTCAGGCTGCAGGACAGCTGGGACGAGCTGGCCGTGTCCAGGCTGAGGGAGGAGGCGGTGAGCTGCCTGCTCCGTTGGAGCCTGTGGCCCGAGTGCTGGACCTCGATGTCCTCGGAGCCCGAGGAATGCGAGATGGAATCCAGAGACTCCTTCCGCTGCAGCTCGGGAGCAGGGGCGGGCACGGGGTCCAGCTCGGAGAGGGGGCAGAGCCCGGAGAGGGCCAGCGGGGTGAGCGTCCACTCGTTCAGGATGGCCGACTTGTAGGAGAGTTCGAAGGACAGGGACGTGAGCCCCTGCAGGAAGCTGAGGAGGAACTCGCTCTCCTCCGCGTCGCGGAGCAGGGCGGTGGGCTGGTAGTACTCGCGCAGCTGCGCCTGCTCCTGCAGGAGCAGCTTCAGGTAGCACTCCATCAGGCCGTCGTTGAGCGCCAGGCGCAGCCAGGCCCGGCAGCGGCCCACGTCCGTGCTCACGAACACCAGGTGCTCCAGCTCCGAGATGATGTGCCTGGGGGCGGGGAGGGGGCGGGGCGCTTTCAGCCAGGGGCTTGGCACCCCCAAGGTGACGCTGTACGCGCGGGCCGGCAGGGGCCAGTAATAACGGCTGCACATACAGGTAGGCACGGAAAATACTTGGATAATAGTGTTCTAAGGTGGGGCTGAGAAATACTAGGCAATAACCCCCAACTTTTTGAGGTTGTTGCCATACAGGTTAATTGCCATTTTCATTACAACTACCGCGGGGTCCCTGATACTGTCTGCCTGCGTCTAGGACGTGTTTGCTGCGTCCTTAAGTGCAAGGTCCTCAAGCTGTGAAGACACAGGGTGGAGACGTGGCCCCTGCCCTCCGTCCAGGTAACTGCCTCTCGAGGGCACACCTGCTGTTAGTGGAAAACGCCACCGAAGGGGCAGCATCGAGCTGGGCCTTGTGGTGTTTCAAGAGGCAAAGACAGGGTGACTCCCTGGGAACATGGGGCTAACCCGAGAAGAGACGTCAAGGGGAGGAAAGCAACAGACCTGTGACAGAGTGGGGAGCACTCCAATTACAACAGGGGGGAGCAGTGGGGGGCTCGGGGGCAGAGCCAGGTAATGCGGGGTTCTGAGTATCAAACTGGTGAGGCAAAGCGGGGCGGTGGCCCCCACACCGAGCTGTGCCTCAGAGTCACCCGGGGAACTTGGTCAGGATACAGATTCTGGGGCCCCGACCGAGTGAACCAGACCCGAGGCTGGCACTGGGGAGCCGGTGGGTTGCAGGTTTTTGCGTAGGAAAGTGATTTGCCCTCAGCCATGCGGACCTCAGGGTGGGTGGCTGTGGGTAGGATCAGACCCCGGGTGCACCAAACTCAGTGTCTGAACGCCTCTGATGGGACACCCCCCTGCGACTCCCACAGTCCCCCGCTCACGTCTCCGCGTGGGAGGACGGACTGTGCTCCGTGGGGCCCCGAGACTGGCTCCAGTGAGCTTAAGCTCAATAAATGTTAAGAAAAGACAGAATGAGATAAGGGGGACAATTAGGCTGCCACTGTCACCCAGGAGTGAGGTAAGAACCTGAGACAGGGCGGTGGCAGGAGGCATGGAAAGAAGATTAGAGACTGACAAGGCACCTGTGGGCTGAGGGTGGCATCCAATAGCCCTTCGAGGCACAGTGCCAGCTACTCGCTCCAGGCCCAGGCGGTGAGGGGCGGGGCCACAAAGACAAGTGTCTCAGGACGAATATTCAGATGCTCTATTTGGATTTCACTCTTCCTACTTCGTTATAATACTTAGCATAGAGATATTCAAACATTCTAAGGCAGGGTCAGCAAGCTTCTTCTGCAAAGGGCCGGACAGTAAAGATTTTAGGCTTTGCAGACCACATAACCTCTGATGCAACTACTGAACTCTGCCAGCATGTGGCAAAAAGTCGGAACTTCCTGGCTGGTGCGGCTCAGTGGACTGAGTGCCGGCAGGCGAACCACAGGGTCGCCGGTTCAATTCCCAGTCAGGGCACATGCCTGGGTTGTGGGCCAGGTCCCCAGTAGGGGGTGCATGAGAGGCAACCACACACTGATGTTTCTCTCTCTCTTTCTCCCTCCCTTCCCCTCTCTCTAAAAATAAATAAAATTTTTAAAAAATAAAAATAAAAAGATGGCACCTGCTGAAGGGACTGGCCCAGAGGCTGGAAGCAGTCCCAGACTGTTCCGTGAGGCAAGAAGGGCTGGCTGAAGAGGCTCGGTCTAACGACAACCCCTACCTCAGCCATCTCTGTTCTAAAACACAGTGTGCCTGTGGCTCTCCCACACAGCGGGAGATGAAGAGCCCCCCATGTCCCACACTCCAAAGCTCTCCCCCAAAGCGAAAGCTCCCCAGCTGATCTCACTTGTGGGTGACGGCCTTCAGGAGGGACCAGAAGACAGGCTGGGGCAGAGGCTTCTGGTAGGCACTCTTCTTCCTCTTCCCCCCGGCCTCGGCGCGGATGTGCTTGGCGTGCAGGCCGTGGATGAACACGGCCTCCAGGGCGCTGCACATGGAGTTGGCGTCTCCGTCCTCGCTGGTGACCGCTGCGTCTGAGGACACGTACTGCTTCTGCAGCGCCTTCATGGACCCCACTAGCTTCTTCTTGATGACCTGGGCAGGGCCAGACACAGTAACACAGGCCTTCAGAAGATCCTACGGCGACCCTCGGGATATAACTCTGCCCGTCGCAAAATACATGCACAACTATGCATGCACACACGTGTCTGTGTGTATCTGTGTGTGCCTTCTGCAAAACTAGCACGTGCTAATTATAGAAAATGAAGACAAAGCACACAGAAGAGGCCCTGGGCTGGGCAGCACGGTTGGTTACAGCACCGACCCACTATGTCAAGGCTGTGGGTCTGATCTCTGCTGAGGGCGCATGCGAGCAGCAGCCGATGAAAGCATAAACATGCGGAACAACAAATCAGTGTTTCTCTTTCTCTCCCTCTCTCTAAAAATTTTTTTAAAAACTTAAAAATAAAGTATACAGTTCAATGGTTTTTGGTGTAATCACAGAATTGTGTAACTGCGGCCATTATCTAATTTTAGAACATTCGTTGCCCTAAAAAGAAATACTGTACCCTATTCCCTTCCCCCCAAAGCACTGCCAACCACTAACCTGCTTCGTCTCTCGGGGTCCGCCTGTTCTAACAGTACATACGAATGGGGTCGTGCAATAGGCAGCCCTTGGAGCCTGGCTGCTTTTGTTTTAGCATGTTTTCTAACTTCCTCTATGATTCAGCATTCTTCCTGTAGCAGTACTTCATTACTTCTTATCACAAATAACATTCCACTCATGGATATTCCACTTTTATTTGTCCATTCATAGGAATATCCATTCGTATTTATCAAATGCTAATAAACATTTGGGTTGTTCCCACTTTTTCGCCATAATGTGGCTGTGAGCACTCACGCACAAGTTTTTGTGTGGAAACATGTCATATGTTTTCCGTTCACATGCGTAGGCACCGGGGAGCGGAATTGCTGGGTCACATGTAACACCGCGTTTAACTTTTTGAGGAACCATCAAACTGCTTCCCACAACGGCTGCACCATCTGACATACCCACCATCAATGTACGAGGGTTTCGCTTTCTCCACGACCCCGCCAACACTTATTACTGTCTGCCGTTTTGGTTACAGCCGTTGTCGAGGGTGTGAAGAACTGTCTCCTTACGGTTTTGATTAGCGTTTGTCTAATGTCTAATGATGGTGAGCATCTTTTCGTGTATTTACTGAACTTGTATATCTTCTTTGGAGAAATCCTTAGTCTTCAGGTAACCCCTGTTCATTTCCAACTGTTCTTTTGACAATTCTCATTTTATCACCAATAAGATGATCTAGGAAGGGTAGGACCTCCTCGGGGCTTGCTTCCGCTAGAACTTTTTCTCAGCCCGAGGCCCCTCTTACCAGGCGGTGTCCATACATTTCAAAGTGAGAGAAGCCAATGACACGGCCGTGCTGTGCTCCCCCGGCCCCACCCCTGATCCTCCCTGGACACCTACCGGGATAGCAGCCTGGGGGTCCAGTCCATTCTCCACCACTGAGAGCATTTCCACTCATACGGCAGCTCCCGAGGAGAATCACATGACACCTGCTGAGACAGGAGGCGGCCAGATGAGCGGGCTCCCAGCTCAGCTCCTCGACACCCCCGCACCACCCCTCACCCCCTCCAGGGGGGCAGCATGAGGCCAGCCCATTTTACTCAAACTGCAACGGAAAGAAAGGCCTTTGAATTCAAAAGTAAAACTGAGAGTGGATTTTCTGGAAGGAAGCAGGGACGGAAAACAGTCTGAGGTTCAGGATCCTGGGAGGGGCGGAGCCCTGTGGAGTGCCAAGGGTGGACCGGCACCAAGGAGGGGGCGGCAAGGGCTCCTCACTGCAACGCCGGGCGCTGGCACTAAATGCAGGGAACGACAGGCTGATGGTCTCGCGACACAGCTGAGGGCGCCCGGGGGCGCTGCGGCTGGCTGCAGGTGCAGGGAACCCTCGGGCACCAGGAAGCAGGCCTGGTCTATCACAGCCAGGGCCGGGCCTTGCACCTGCCCGCTCTGGCTCCGTCCTGTCCGGCGTCTGCCGCTCAGCAGAGAAAAGGACAAGTGAAACAGCTGCAAAAGGGAGGCTCTCCCGCTACACTGCCGCTTCTCCTCTGGGCTGCGAGGATCAAGCCTGGGTAGCGCAAGGACACGAGGGAAGGGGCACATGGGGTCTAACCTCAATTTGCAGTTAACCAGCAAGGCACTCGGGGCCACTGTGTCAGACTGCTCACAAGGAGATGACTGTGCAGATGCCTAGGACAGGGGCTAGTAGGTACCAAGGACAAATGGCACCTATAATCGCAGTGGATGTGGCCACTTAACATTTACAGGCAAAGAATCCCACTGCCTGAATCTAGTTGCCCAGGCAGGTGGAGTCAGCGCACAGGAAAACCCCTCAGGCAGCTGGCTTCCTCCCAGGAGTGGCTGAGGGCGAAGTGGGGGAGGGGCTAGGGGCTTGGGTCTTGTTTGAGTCCCACCCCAGCAGCTTGCACTGGGCAGGGCCAGGCGGACACATTCACATCTACACAAACGCCTAGTGACCCCACAGCTGACCATGAGGGGACACCAAAGATAACAGGTTATTGCTGTCTCTGCTCCCCCAAAACTGTCCTGGCTGGTGTGGCTCAGTGGATTGTGTGCCAGCCTCTGAACCAAAGGGTTGCTGGTTCAATTCCCAGTCAGGGCACACAAGCCTGGGTTAGGGGCCAGTGGGGGTTCCCAGTGGGGGCAGCGTGAGACACAACCACACATTGATGTTTCTCTCCCTCTCTTTCCCCTCTCTCCAAAAATAAATAAATGAAATCTTTAAAAAAAAAGTCTTAATATTTCACAACACACTAAAAAAAAAAAGTTAATACAACCAAGGCCTGCTAAATGGGTTTTACACCCTTCACATCTATTGCCTCATTCCATTTCTTCTAACAACCCTGGGAGGGCTCTTTTGTTACTCCAATCCGACTCATAGGAAGTAGAAACTGACGCAGGTCAAGGACCTTCCCAAGATCCCAGAGCTGATGCGGTCGGTTCCCCAGCCTCGGCCAGGACAAGGCCCACCGCAGCTCAAGGGGAGCCCCAGACCCCTGGATGAGTGCAACCGCCTTCCTGCTGGGAGAGACAGGTGTGAGCGAGGGCTGAGGAGCGGCGGGGAAGGGAGCCGGCAGGGAAAGGGGGCAGCAGGGGTTGGGGGAGGGCCCTTCCGCCGAGAGCCCTGGCGGGACAAGACTCTGATTCCATCCCTGGCCTCTGGAGTGGGCAGAGGGGAAACGGGACCCAGAACCGACCTCCCCGAGTGAGGACACGCAGGGGAGGGAGCTGTGCACGCGGCACAGCCCCTGCGGAGCCAGCGCTAGTCAGAGCGCGGAGACCCCCAGGGAGGACACGCGGCCCTGGCTGCAGCCCCCCGTCCGACTGCGTCTCCCTTCAACCACCTTCCTGCTCCCACCTACCCGGGATCCTCAGGCCCCTCCTTGGAGACCGGCTCCACAGTCTGGCCGTGCAGGGTGACAGGGAAAGAGGTATGTACTGTGGATAGAGTCCCCCTAAAAAACAGGCCTGATCTGGGTTCCTTCTAGGCTGCCTTGCGCAGCCCAGCCAGCCAAGGCCCGGTTCTCTGGCTCCGAGACCCTGAGCTCTAACCCCATTCAGGGATTCCAGCAGCCGGCCTACGGCCACCCTCGGGCCTGCCCTTCCACACAGAGCCTCAAGCTGTGAGACTGCCCTTCCCTCAGCCAGCCCCAAGGCCAGGCCCTTGGGGGCCTAGACCTGAACGACCTGAATCATAGCCCGGGTCCATTAAGGCCCATTAGGGGAGGAGGCTTATCAACAAGTGGGTGCTCTGGCCCAGAGAAAAAAACTGAGGCAAACTGACGCTGAGAGGTCAGACTCAGATAAGAGACAAACAGCTGTTGCCTAAAACGTCAGAAAAGCCACAAAATGACAATAGGGGAGATAAATCGAGGAGAAAAGCCGCCGGACAATTCAGAAATAGGACTGGGACCCTGGGGTTCAGGCCACAATTCGGGGCATGGCTTTGGTCTCCAGCAGGAAGGCAGAGCCCCTGACCTGCGGTGTGTGTTTCATGTGCCTCGCAGGGGCCAGACACTGGCTGCCAGGCAGGAGTCCCACAGCCCCTGACCGTGAACTTGCTGGTGGAAGCAGACGGGGCTTCGGGTCTCCTGACTGCTGCTGAGTCAGTGCTGAGTCACGCTCCCCGTGGCCCAGGCCCCGACCTACCACCCTGTGGGGCTGGCTTCGCTCCCGGTCCCCAGAACAGCCTTCACGGACACCAAGAACCAAACCAAAGAGAGGTGTGGCTTCAGGGAGACTCGGCTGAAGGGACTAAGGAACACACTTGAGCACCAGTGGAGTTGAGCAGAAGAGGTGAATTTGCTTTTTAGGAAACTCCAAACCCCATTAAGCCTGCCTCTCCCCCTAAGTCCTGACTCATCCTGACACAGCTTTTCAGGCTTCTCTCGTCGCGTCAACTCCTACAGCAGTCCCAGGAGAGGACTTCCTAGAGAAGACCGGCACTCAGCACAAACAGGCCCCGGGGAAGGGACAGAATCCTCTGGTGTCTTCACCCCACGTCCTGTGCCTCTGACCAGACGCCACTGCCTCAGGTCTTTGGTTCTAAGTGTTTCAGGAACATTTAATACTTGCTGACTCTTGGCCCTGGCTGGTGTAGCTCAGTGGATTGAATGCGGGCTGCAAACCAAATTGTCGCTTCGCAGGTTCGATTCCCAGTCAGGGTACATGCCTGGGTTGCAGGCCGTGACCCCCAGCAACCGCACATTGATGTTTCTCTCTCTATCTCCCTCCCTTCACTCTCTAAAAATAAAATAAAATCTTTAAAAAAAATACTTGCTGACTCTTATGGAGCACTCAGAAACTCCATTTATCAAATATGGCTGAAGATCAGGAAGAAACCGTCTTCCCGGCCAGATCTGCAGTCCCAAGCCGCTGGGGCCAGGTTCCTACCCTGGTACCCAAGTTTCGGGGCCGTCCTTTCTTATACGTTCTAGCACACACTTAGGGAGGAATCGTCCTGGCTCTTTTTCTTCGCTAGACTGCCTGGCCCTCTGAGCACGTGCAATATTACTTCCTCCAGAAACCGAGGAAGAGAGAAAAGGGAAAAATGGCTTACAGGAGACTTACATTAAAAGAAGAAATGGATGAGCCGACCTCACGGCTTTGGAAGCATTCCATCCAGCAGTAAACAGCAACCTCCTCTCCTCGGAGGCTGCTCCGCCATTCCCAACAGTCTCCTCCCTGCAGACTGAATCTAATCCCGTAGTACCTGGCTGTTTGGAACAACAGCCTGGCGTTTAAGCCGTCCAGCTACTCTAGTACCGATCGATGAGTCATGGTTTTCAACTGGAAAACAAAACGACAAAGTTATCTTCTGATTCAGAAAGGCAGCTGATCTTTCAGCCCTGTGAGTGATGAATGAGTAAACGGCACCTGCTTCCACCTGAAGACAATTGGATTTCTGGTCCAGTGTTCCCTAGCAGGTGCACTGGGGGAACCGGGCCTTTGAAGCAACTGAATGCCAGCTGGAGGGTGAGAAACTTCTAGCGTGTGATTCCCAGACCACGGGCTGGTGGGTGAGGCCAGTGAACACTGGCTATCTTTTTTTTCCTTCCTCTTTCTTTCCATCCAGTAACAGCCATCTCCCCCAGTTTCTTGTCCCAGATCCCCTAGGGTTCTAGCAAGGGCCAGTCTCTGAATGAATACAAACAGGTACTTTCCGAGGCTCAGTCACTGTTGTATTTCCAGTGTCCAGAACAGTGCACGGCACACAGTGGTGCTCAAAAAGCACCTGAATGAACGGGTGAATCCAACGAAAATAAGGCTCAGGGCAGGTATCTCCCCCTCATAAACTGCGGGAAGCTGAAGTATAGAACTCTTCAGCGATAAGAACTCCTTCCACTAAGCCCAGCTGCCAATAGGCTGAAAACCATTCCGACCTATCACACGTTACTGGGGACTTACTAGAGGTAGAAGAGCATTCAGTTTTCACAGGAGCAAGACTGTAACAGGCAAGCAAAGACAATGGTCCTGCTTGGGGCCCTTTACAATTGCTGTCATTGGGCCAACCCCCTGAAACCAGGTCACCAGAATTTGGAGGGAACACGTACTCAAACAGCCCAAATGATGAATGCTGAGAATGGGGCCTGAGGGCCTCAGGATGCCCTGTGCCTCAGCTCCTCTCAGATAACTCCGCTCCCTGTCCATCAGCAACGGTGGTGGCCAGCAGTCGGTGATGCAGCCCCCGCAAAAAGAGGAAGCAGCTCAGCAGCCTCCAGACCCACCTAGTCCTCAGCCTCCTGGGGACCCACTCACTGACACGCTTCACAACACGCGACACCACCTCTGGCACCCACAGCGTTCCCTGTGGTCAGTGCTGGGACCGATCTGCTACCAGATGCGGCGCAGAGGAGCCCTCTGTGAGGGTTTTTTCCAAGGTCTAGGACAACACACGCTGGAATGGCTCCGTAACCATGGCCAATCCCACACACTGGTACTTCCTGAGTTTCCTCAAGGCCAGGAGCCCAGCCCAAAGGAAGTGATGGCTACTGTTGCCTCAGCCTGAGTGAGCTGGATGAGTGGCCATTCCTCACCTTCCAGGCATGTGGAGGATACCTGCCATTCCACAGCAGCAGTAACTTAATATGATTGCTGGAATCATAATCCCTGGGGACAGAAAGAGGGGACCGGACACCTGGGGAAAGCCCCTGACCCAGAGGGGTATCTCTACTCCTCCACACTTACTAGCATGGGAGGCCCTGCACGCGCTGGTCAAGCTGTTCAATCTCTAACTGCCCAGCTCTGAGTAAGCCCCTAGATTTGCCGTTGAGGGAGGGCTGGTGGGGCTGGCAGGGCACTCTAAACTGAGATCTCAGACTGAATGGGGACTGGGTCAAGGGAAGAATGGGTGCAGAGTTGGAGTGAAGAGTTGAGGTTCGGACAGCAGAGGATACGCCATTAAAGGGAGGGAGAAAGGGAGGGAAAGAAACATCAAGGTGTGGTTGCCTCTTGCGTGCCCCCTACCAGGGACCTGGCCTGCAACCCAGGCATGTGCCCCGACTGGGAATTGAACCAGTAACTCTTTGGTTTGCAGGCCCACGCTCAATCCACTCTGGCCATTGAGCCTGGGCTGGAGACCCCATTTTCAAGAAGATGGGTTGAGAGCTGTAGGAGCTGGTGCAGCAAGAGTCAGGGGCAGTTTAGCAAAGACTTAGGGATGGAGGATGTCCTGAGGATGACTGGAGATGGAAAGGAAGTATATGATAGGCTAGAAGTTAGGGGCTGAGTCTATGAGGACAAGAAGATACATAATTACAAGACCTGGGACAGGACTGTGATGAGAGTTATCAAGAAGAAAGACGTGAGCTCAAAGCGCACTCACTTTGGTGTTCGGTCTTAAATGAGACTGGGTCAGAGGTGGGCTGTTTAGGATGAGCAGACCTTGGGGAGCTGAGCAGGGGCATGTGGGAGATTGGGATAAGAAAGCTGATTCAGAAAAACAAACCAGAAGAGTGGTTCTCAAAGAGATTTGCGTGGAGCATTAAGAGCGCCAAAAGGGCTGAGGACTGAGGGCTAAGGATGAGCTGTGTGAAAGAGGGAGGCGGAGGAATGTGGCTGAGATCGGGTTGGAATTGGGCTAGAGTAGGGTCAAGGGTGAGGCTGCATTTATGCAAGACCGGTGGTGAAGGGGTGGGGGTAAGGGCTGGAGTCAGGTCACGGGTGTATGAAGAAAGAGGGGACGGGCCAGCAGTGGCAGTGCCAGCCGGAGGCTTGGATCGGAGTGGGAAGTTGGAGCACGGGATTTGGGTAGGGAAGGGTGCGGGCTCTGAAGCAGGGCAGTCTCGAGGCAAGCGGGGGTTTGTGATCTCGGCGAAAGCTGGCCCATCGCCCGTACGCGTCTCGGTCCGCCGCCCCTCCGCTGCCCTCCACGCCCCAACCCCTAACTCACCAAAGGGAGCGGGGAGCGGGGCGTGAGGTTCTCCCAGCCGCAGCAGCCCCAAAAGATCCGACCTGACCCAGCGGCCTCCGGGTTACCGACAACATCAAGCTGCGCCCAGGGCGCCTGACGCCATCACGTAGGCTCAGGATCAGGCCCCGCCCCCTGCCCGCGGAGCCTATCGCGGAGCCGGAAGGAGTCACGGGGCGGGGCGGGGACCGAGGGGGCGGGGCCAGCGCTTTGGGGCGCCTAACTGTACCCAGCCCCCGAGGGGCTTTCGGAGGCTCCGGGTCCGTTACCCTAATAGGTTGCGGAGAGCGGAGGCCTGGCGTCGGGGCGGAGCGCGTCCTTATTGCCCGTTTCCCGCAAAGTCTGCATCAAGTACACTCTGTCGGCCCGGGTCATGGCCTCGTCTGGCTTCAGCTCTATCTGCGTAGCTTTGGGGCTGTCGTTTGGCCTCGGTCAGAGGAGGTTGTCCACTTGTAAAATGGGACCAATAACGCCGACTCTATATTTGCCTCTGACACGGTGTCAGCGTAGCCCGGCAGGCAGAGCTCAGGCCCAAGTTGTAGTCCCAGGGATGGAGGCTCTCTGGAAAAACATTCGTGTTTTGGCCACACCTTGCTCCAAAAGGAAGCACCTAGAGACCCCTTGGGCATTCTCCCATAACCCAACCCGCCCATCAGCAAAGCTCAACTAGCCATGCAGCTAAATGTGTTTTGTTTGATTTCCTTCGTAAAAGTGACATTTCTCTTCCAAATGGACTCAAACCTCAGCAGCTCTGGAGGTGGGGGTGGATTGCGGGGTTGAGGAATCAAGCAAAAATGAAAAAAAAATTCATGGACGTGGACAACAGTGGGGCAGGGGGTGGATGGAGGTGGAAGAGATATAAGGGGATAAAAGGTAATGGAAAAAAATTTTTTTTGAATGAAATAGACCTGGCTGGTGTAGCTCGTGGATTGAGTGAGGGCCTGTGAACCAAAGTGTCTCTGGTTCTATTCCCAGTCAAGGCACATGCTTGGGTTGCAGGCCATGTCCTCAGCAGGGGGTGCGCTAGAGGCAACCACACATTGATGTTTCACTCTCCCTCTTCCTCCCTCCCTTCCCCTCTCTCTAAAAATAAATACATAAAATCTTTAAAAAAATGAAATAGCCACATTGTTGCTTCCTAATGTCATTTCCCCTGATTTACTCTACTTTGATCCCGAGACTGGTTTTTGACTGAAATGTAATTTTATCAGATTAAATTGCTTCATAATTTTTTTAAAAAGTAGCAGGGGGTGTATTGCGGTGCTTCAGACACCTCACAGACATAATCATTGGTTAGTTGGCACCGAGCGTGAGCAGGGAGGGACTCGGGGGAGTGGCTGGATGAGGTGCAGGTGGGTACAGGGCTGGCTGAGGAGCAGGCCCGTTCTTGGAAGCAAGCTGCACTGATCTCCACCGGGGCTCCTGGGCTGCATCTGCCTTTCCGGGAAGGAAGGTGTCCTTCATACCTCCAAGAAGGTCAAGGTCCCAGTGCCAGTTTCCACTTGTAAAACCAGTCATTGGGGTGTGGCCCTCTGCGGTGTAATTCTTTCTCCAGGAGTGAAAACCTGCCCCCCCACCCCAGGTTTTAGGATAGATGAGTCAGTGCTATAAGGGCCTTCACTGCGGTTATGGGTTGAGCAGGAAGATTAAAAAGAAAAACAGTAAAATCTGAGAATCTCTGCCCTAACCTAGGAGATAAGGGGTCAGGGATTTAACATTCATGGAGAGCTGTGATTTGTCCTTACCGACCACCTGGCAGGGGGTGCCTCTGTTCCCCCATTGTACAGATAAGAAAACAGGCTGGAGGGAAGCAACTTGGGGCCCAAGGCTGCACCCCTAATAAAAGGGAAGAAGGAGGATTCTCACCCAGCTCTTTCTGATCCTAGTTGGAGAAGTAGCATAGTTCCCTCAGTAACAGAACAAGTGGGCTTTAGAGCCAGAAATGCTTAGGTTCGAATCCCAGCTCTACCCCATGCTGTTTTCTGGGCCTCCCCTAAACAGGGGCCTGGAGCCACCTAGTAAGTGTGGGGCTAAGACATGTGCCACTGTGTATTTTTTTCATAGGTCCCTTGACACAGCATTGAAGACAGAAACTTCTCAACTGAATTTAATGTTCAGAAAAAGAGAAGTCAGGTCACGCCGCCCATGGCCCTTTAACCTCAGGAAGAGGGATCAGGATGTGTGAATTCATAGACATTTCAAACACTCTCTGAGCCTCAGTTCCTCATCTGCAGATTGGGGAAGATGTCCGTTGATATGAACACTAAACAACGTCCTCGGGACAATGTTTGGTCTGTAGAGAGCACTTGAAGCTGAGCAGTTATTATTCTTACGGGTCTAGCAGTTGTCACCTCTTTAAGCCAGTCACAGCTCTACAACTGCTATTCTGAGCAGTGGAGTGAGGTCCTTCCTCGGACCGGAGCCATCACACTAGTCTCAGTGCAACCGCTTCCCTCGATACTGGAACAGCTGGTGTTCCTGGTCCTGCTGTGGGAAGCTGGTTCTTCCCATACTCTTTTTAAAAAATGGATTTTTAAGTGTTCATTCTTTGTCAATGATGCCTCCGTCAATCTAGAAAAATGATCACAAGACGATGAACTAAAAAAACAAAAACAAACACAATTTATTGTACACACAGTTCACTAAGATTTGCAGGTCGCCTGAGGATGGGGGTCGCTCGGTGGCAGCCTCCTATGCCGTGGTTCACACGGGTCTGTCACGCAGCCGAGTCTGTGGCAGCGACCCTTAACACCGCGAACTCACCACGCAACCTGGGGTAAGAGGAAGAAGGCCAAGGCTTTTGTTCTTGAACGGAACAATCGCGCTACTCCTCATGTCCTCAGTCTAGCCGGGAAATGCTATTCTAAACTGCTCCCCATCATTTACATCTGGTAGTACAGCTCGTCCTCAGCCGAGGACTCCTTGTCGTGCAGCTTCTGCGCCATGTCCTCTATGCACCTCGCACTGCGCGGTCGGTACAGGTCCCTGAGCCAGAGCGGCTGCCTTCGGGCAGAAACGTGCTCCTGGGAAACACACGGGGAAATATTAGTTCTTGTTTCCTCTGCTGTGTTCCACCACAGAGTGCTTCATTTACCTTTGTCGTGGGAGCAGCCGGTGAGCATCTCATAGGCCAGAGAATTGAGAAAAAGCCCCTTGGAGGAAAATGCAAAGCGACAATTAGTGGTTCGTGCCCTTCCCCATGTCTCTCTCTCACAATGTATAGCTCTGGTCTTATTAGGAGCAAATGGGTACCTGGGTCCATGCACACAAGCAAAATCACCACTCCCCTTCTTGGCCAAGTGCCCTCATGCAGTTAAAACAACAACAGCAACAACAACAAGCCCTGGCTGGTGTAGCTCAGTGGACTGAACATGAGTCTACGAATCAGAGGGTCACTGGTTTGATTCCCAGTCAGGACACATGCCTGGGTTGCTGGCTGCATCCCCAGCTGGGGGTGCACGAGAGGCGGCCACCCATTGATGTTTCTCTCCCTCAATTCCCCTCTCTCTAAAAATAAGTAAATAAACTCTTAAAAATATATATATACAGATATATATTTTTAAAAAGCACCACCACTTGGGCAGAAGCAGTTTACGCTCCCCAAAAGCATTTGACATGGTTTGCTTGAGAGGAGGGAGAAGGTGCTTTTCTTTTCCTCGCTGCTTTATCCTATAAGCTAAATCACAGCAAGTGAATGCCCGAGTCCGAACAGCAGAGTTAGCTGGCTTGCTGCCTTCCGTTTGACGGGAGGTCTCTGCTGAGTGACTGAGTTGTGCAATCAGCTTAAAGGTCACAACCAGCAGGAAAATACACAACACTCCTTTTGAATGCAAACAGCATAGAAACACATTCAGAGTGCATGATGATTTCGTTTGGAGAGACTCGTGTCTGTGCGGCGTGCGTGCACTGAGTTGGGACATAAAATGCAGCTCACAGACCAAGCACGTGAATCAGTGCAGAAGTCCCCAGCTGGAAAGGTGCCGTCTTCTTTCCGACACGCACTAGCCGTGTGACCGTGGGGCAGGACGTTTTCCCTTTCCTCTTCTCCACTTCCTCATCGTTAGAGGAAAAGACACACTACCAGCTAAGGTCTCCTCCGGTTAAAATTCCATGGGGTTTGGATAAAGCGATTGGAGAGAACAGTGGCTTGAACACCGGTAGGATGGGAGGGGGACCTTTCCCTGCTACTTCCCTGGAAGGGTTTACATACCCCACCTTTCCTCAGCCTTGAAGGAGACCAGCGCCCCTCCCATAAGACCTTGTGGCCTCCGCACCCCTTCCCCAGAGCCTCCACTACCAGCAGGAACAGCTACAACGGAGACCTGTCCCCCTGCACCTGTCTCCCTCCAGGCCTAGTGCCAGCAGACGCCTCTGTGCCGGTCCCATTCTATCTCGGCGGGGGCTAGGCAGCTGGTTTGCAAACTCTAGGCAAAGCATCAGGGTACATAAATGTATTCTTTCCAAATTTGGTGGTTTCCTCACTGTAAAATGAGGAGATTGAAATAGACGGGTTCTAAGTTCTCCTCTAGTTCCCTTCTGGGAGATCTGTTTTTCCATGCAGCCTCCTCTTCTGGTTTAGGAACAATCTGCTCTCTCTCGGCACGAATCATCCCCGTGTGGCAGGGAGAGCTCACGGATGAGTTAAGCCGCCCATGAGCTCTGGGAGTCCCGCTCTGGGTCTCGGGAGCTTCGTCCATCTGGATGTGCTCCATGACCAGAGAGTCTATATGTAAACCCGTCAGTGCTGCATTGCTTTCTGCATTTTTAGGCACACACACCAAAAATTCAGCACTTTTTGGGGGTCCACGGACCCTGCGTCCACCCCATTCTTTGGTCTGGACACACCTACCAACTCTTCCTTTGTAACAGCTCCACCAGTAACATCCTTCAGATACTTTAAGACAGGCATACCCTCGATGGCCTGGGCCATCCCGAGTGTGCTTCAAATGAGCGTGAAAATTTGAACCTCTTTTAAATTTTTTTAAAGATTGTATTCACTTATGTTTAGAGAGGGGGGAGGGAGAGAAACATCAATGTGTGGTTGCTTCTCACATGCCCCCCTACTGGGACCTGGCCTACAACCCAGGCACGTGCCCTGACTGGGAATCGAACCGGCAACCCTTTGGTTTGCAGTCTGGTGCCCAGTCCACTGAGTCACACCAGCCACAGCTGAAACTCTTGATTTGGGTGCTTTTGTGGAATTTTCTGAGTCAAGTGACTAGTGAACCATTTTTAGAGGTCACCTCAGGCCGCTTAGAGGAAGAAGCAGCTCCTCTAGGTCTAAAATTCTACTTAGAAAAATGCCAGACTAGTATTTACCTTGAGCTTCCTTCTTCACCTTCCTCTGATGATGTTCTGTGGCAATAAATCTGTTTTGGAAGAAAGCAACATCGTGATTATTCATCACAATGACCACTGCCTCTAAGTCTTTATTCGTCCTCTTTTAAGTGAGATGGTAACTTTTTTGAGGACAGGAATTCTGTTTATAATCCTTCAATTCTTTTTCATAGCCCCTGACTTAGGATCTTGCACGCAGCTGGCAATGCCTTTTATTGGTTGTTTTAGGTAATATTCAGCAGATAATTCCTAAGAAATACTCTTAGAAAAAAAGGAAATAAAAACATCTACCAGAAACCTACATGGCAGCTTTGTTTTAAGGTCAAGAACAAGGGTAGGATACCTACTATCACTGTTACTATTCATCGTCCTTGAGGATGTCTTAATCAATTTGATAAGAAAAACGAAGCAGTGGAAGGAAAGAGACAAAACATATTTGCATATGAGATGATGCAAAACTTCAGAAGCCCAAGAGCATCGACTAAAATTTTATTGGCAGTAATATGACAATTCAGTAAGATGGCTAAGTCCAAAATCAAGAGACCAACATGCAAACCTCAAAAGCTTTCCCACATACCACAAATAACTAATTAAAAAAATGAAAGCAAGAGCCCTGGTTGGTGTGGCTCAGTGGACTGAGCACTGGCCTGTGAACTGGAAGGCTGCTGGTTCGATTCCCAGTCAGGGCACATGCCTGGGTTGCAGGCCGGGTCCCCAGTGGGGGGCCTCATGAGAAGCAACCAATATCTCTCACACACTGATGTTTCTCTCTCTCTTTCTCTCTCCCTGACCCTCTCTCCAAAAGTAAATAAATAAAATCTTTAAAAAAAATGAAAGCAAGAGCTTATTTACAATATCAATAAAAATGGATAAAGTACCTAGGAATAAACTTAACAAAACATGCATTAAGACCTAGGTGATGAAAAGATTAAAACTCTTCTGAAGGACAATAGGAAGAATACATGACATGAGATACCGTACTCTTAGAATGTTCTAAAGATGTCAGTTCTCTGAAATTTACCTACAAATACCATGCAATCTTCTTCAAATCCCAAGATAGTTTTAACTAAAAACTGGACAGCTGACATTTAGTAGAGAATATACGCAAGAATAGCTATGAAATGTATGGAAAAGAAGATCAAAGAACAGGAGCTTACCCTACCAGATATCAAAATGTATCATAAAGGAATTGGAATTACATAGTGATATTGCCACTGGACCAGAAAAAGATAACTGGTTTGCAGACTACATAGCATTTTAGGTCAGTAAAGAAAGAATAAGCCATTCTATAGAAGATTTTGAAATGATCGCATGTTCACATAGGGGAAAAACAGTCAACCACACTACAAACAAATAAAACCGATGGTAGACAAACTTTAAAAATCATAAATAATAAGATGTCATATAAAGGACTGGAATATCAGAGACTACTTCCATTCCTTGAGGTTACAGAGGCTTTGTTGTCAAAACCTACGAGCCATAAGCCGTGAGAAGACCGGCAGACAGGGTGCGGCAGGCTGCATCCACACACCCTGCTCTTCACGGCCCTTGTCTTCCTCCTGATGGTCTGGCCTTCACTGAATTTCAATATTCAAATAGACCCCGGCGTTTTTGTGTTTAAAGAGACAGAACAGTAGATAAGAAGCACAGGCTTCGCAGTCAGGCAAAACTGTGTTCTGCTGTTGGCTTTGCCCCTGGGGCCTTAGGGTGATCTCTTTCACCTGTAGAAGAGGGTGGTAATATTGTCCTCACAGGAGGGTAGAGATTGAGTAAGACGACATATGGAAAACTTTAGCCTATGCTTGGCATAAACCAGTGCTAAGTTTGCTCACGGTATAGCAGACAAGGAAGTCAAATCTATCAAAGGGTTCCACCTGGCCCTGGCCGGGCAGCTCAGTTGGTTAGAGCGTTGTCCCAATACGCCAAGGTTGTGGGTTTGATCCCCGGTTAGGGCACACACTAGAATTGACCAATGAATGCAAAAATAAATGGAACAACAGATTAGTGTTTCTCTTTCTCACCCCCTTCCTCTTTCTCCCTAGCATCAACACATTGAAAAATTTTTAAAAAGGGTTCTCCCTGTGGTATCAGTGTCAGAAAGCGCTTTACCACAACTAAACTACAAAAATATTGCTTCTATTTCTTCTAGTACTTTTATGGGTTTTTTTACATTTATGTAAATTCATTTCTTTAAGGCGAGAAACAGACATCTGATGTTACTTCCCCCTCAAATAGTTGGGTTGCTATTCTGTTACCATTTATTCACTTTCTTCCACTGATCAGAATATTGAGAGGTGACTTTTGAAAATCTTAGGAGCACCCGGGGGTGTCTGGTGCTGCACTCTGTACGCTGCTTCAAATACACGCCAGGCTGCACCCCTCCTCACTGTGGAACTGACAAAGCGCCTCATCTTTGTTCCTTTGAGCACCAGTACTGTCCACTACGAAACAAAACACAGCATGGTCCGTGTCCTCAAAAAGCTTATTATCTAAGTGGGAAGAGGAAATAGTGAAACCACACGAAGAAATATACCGTAAGTGCAAGGTTAAGCTACATAGAAATTAAATGCAGTATAGGAGTTTATAAAACTCCAAAAAGCAAAAGGCCATATAGGCCAGCTGGAGACGAAGAGGGTACCGTGTCGGTGATGGCCCATAACCGTCTTCCCAGAGGCCTCGGCCAGCTGGCCCCATGCTGGTCCCCAGGCTCCTGGGCTCAGAAATCAGATCCTCTTCACCACTTCTGAATGCAATGGTCTCCCCTTGTCAATACCGCAGGGTTAATAACAAACCAGAATGCCAGCTTACGGTCTGACAATGAACGTGACATCTGTCCCACAGACACTGCCTGTGTTTGCACATTCTGGGGTCTGAGTCAGGGAAACATGTTCTGTTGAGCCAGGCCTCGTGGCACACTCAGGCACAATCAGAAGGCTACTTGGTGGGAACAGAACTAGAGCAAAAGCAGCCAGCTGGATTCAGTGCCCAGGAGGAAGGACTGAGCTGGCCAGACCCCTCCAGCTCCCTGGCAGGCACGGCCTGGCTAGTGCGCCTGGCTCTCCACCTCTGCTGCCTGAGCTGCCACCCTACTCTCAGGCACTGCTGGGGCAGTCAGTGCCCTGGTCAGTCCCCCACCTTTTCCCTGCTTCACTACTGACCAGCCCTCCTGCAGACGGACACGCTCCTCTTTAGCAGGCACGACATCCAGTCAGGTTTTACCCAAGTCTGGTGGCCAGGAAGCCATTTATTTGGTCCTCGCACACCTTTGCTCTGCCCCGTGATATGCTGACCTTGGTATTTTTCTCTTAGGGGGCCACCTTTTAAAAAATTATCTACCATACTTTTAAGTTCTCAGGGGAGGGGAATGCCTCACGATCCGCCCTCCACCCCCGACATGGTGACAGATCTCACAGGAGGACTAGGGCCACAGGGCTGGCGCACTCGGGGAAGGCTTTACAAGGAAAGGTGAGCTTGAGCTGGCTTCTGAGAGCTCCACAGGCCGAGCACAGTAAGGGCATTCTAGATGGGCAAAGACACACACAGAGGTGGGACTCGGCAGAGTGCAGCTACGGTACAGTGAGAGCTGCTTTGGCTGGAACCACCGTTGCAAAGATAAGTAAGGTTGAATTAGTAGGGTAGAGTCAAGATCGTCAGCTTATTAAATGGCCCTTTTAATGTTAGCACCTGCCTGTTAGCACCTGCCAGCATGTAATGGAACGAAAGTGACACAGGCGAGCTCCAGGAACAGAGGGCTATACGGACGGCATGCTTTGGAGAAGCCTGAAGTCGGATTCAAGGTGGCAGTGTTTCAGCTGAATTTACCCACACATGGCCCAGGATGGTGATGAAGGCGGCCCAACCTAAAACCTTTTTTTGCTCATCAGTTAGTGTTGGTGTGTTTAATGTGTGGCCCAAAGCAACTCTTCTTCTTCCAGTGTGGCCCAGAGACTCCAAAAGTCTGGACACCCCTCCCCCGCTAGAGAAGAAAGCTGGTCAGTACATCTAATGAACTGACAAGATCACGCTTTTATCTTCGAGCCGTATCCTCTGTGCCAGGGAGACACAGCTCCTTGCAGGTAGAGCTTCTCTTCCTCTCCTCATTTCAGCCGACAAGGAGAGAAATCAGTGGTAGAAGGAGAGTAACTGGTGAGTATACCAAAGCGACATCGTTATTTTGAGTTGAAGAAATTTTGCTATTGTGTCCACTCTGGCCTATTAAACTTAGTGTCTCAAAATACGTCTAGCAGGTTGCTATCTAGAGTTCAACTCTGCAGAGATCTCTGGGAGGGGGCTTCCTTTAAAACTCCCTGGAATATCATTTTTTAAATTATAAATTTCCATGTTTATTTTTTTTAATTTTATGTTAATCATTGTTCAAGTACAGTTTTCTCCCTTTCACTCCCAATCGAGCCCACCCTCCCAACCCTCCCCACTTCCCTCCCATTACCACCCTCCCCTTAGTTTTTGTCCATGTGTCCTTTAAATTTGTTCCCGTGAACCCTTCCCATTGTCCCCTGAAATTCCCTCTTCTCTCCCCTCTGGTCACCGTCAGCCTGTCCTCTATTTCAGTGTCTTTGGTTATATTTTGTTTGTTTCTTTGTTTTGTTGTTTAGATTCCTGTTAAAGGTGAGATCATGTGGCATTTGTCTCTCACTGCCTGGCTGGAATGTCATTTGTAGTAAAAGAACAGAGCATACCTCAGTGCTTGTGACCAAAGAGGAGTGTCAGGGCGGCGGCAGTGGGAAAGCGGCTGGTTTTCAGTGTGTGGAAATCTGATGACATTCTGAATCTATCCTACAGACAGAACATACTTTGGGAACCTGAAAGAACTGTGGTCTTACCGCCATGAAACAGAAAACCACAATGGAGATGATCGCCCCTACGATCACAGGTATCGCCACGACGAGTTTGCCGTGATACCCGTATTCTGGCAACTCTGCAGCGAGCTAAAAAAGAAAACAAACAAAGAACAATGTTTAAAAAAAAAAACTCAAAGAGATGGAAAGGATAAAAATGAACTATTCTCTAGCCTATTCTAACTATTCTTTTTTTTTCAAGATTTTATTTATTTATTTTTAGAGAGGGAAGGGAGGGAGAAAGAGAGAGAGAGAGAAACATCAACGTGTGGTTGCTGGGGACCTGGCCTGCAACCCAGGCATGTGCCCTGACTGGGAATCGAACCTGCAATGCTTTAGTTCGCAGCCCGAGCTCAATCCACTGAGTTGCGCCAGCCAGGACGATTCTAACTATTCTTAACCACCGCTTTAAAACCCCATTCCTTCAGGCAAAGTGCTAATGCATTCTTAAAGAACAGACCAGACCTATGTGTTATGTGCTCTGAGTGTCAGTATTTTCTTGTGTAATTTATTTGTCTTGTGTGTTAGGCCCGCCCTGTGTCTATCCCAGGAACAGCGGCACGGATCTCTAAACCAGCAAAGTGGGATGGGAGATCGCTGTCTCAGCCAAAGTCACGTGGCCAAGATGAGATTCAGACCAGGCGCCCCTGGCGGTCCGCCCTGGATGCTTCCAAGGCAGGTGCCGACCGACCGGCCACCCAGCCCCCGGGAGCGTGGGGAGCTGTCCTCACCTCCCTGGCCTCCTGCGCTGCCTGTTCCCCTCCGGCTTCTCTCTTCTCGGCCTTAGAGCTCTCATTCCTCCACTGATTCGTATCTTGCTCTCCCTTGGAAACCTTAACTTCTCGCTGCTCGCTGAGAAGCTTTATCAGGAGGCCTGTTCCAGAAAATAGTTTCCTCCATTACTTTAAAAAAAATGGTTTATGTTTTATATTTTAAAAGATTTTATGTATTTATTTTTAGAGAGAAGGGAAGGGAGGAAAAAAGAGAGGGAGAGAAACATTGACCGTTTGCTTCTTGAGCACACCCGCCAACCGGGGACCGAGCCCGCAGCCCAGGCATGTGTCCTGACTGGGAATCGAACCGGTGACCTTTGCTTTGTGGGAGGATGCCCAACCAACTGAGCCACACTGACCAGGGCCCTCCATTTCTTTGGAAAGGTTCCTTCTGTTGTTTTTTTCCAGTGACTCAGGGGCATACCTCTGTCTGGTACATTTGAACACGGGAGTTTAATGAATGGTGACAACATTGATTCCATATCTTCTATATTTTCCCCCAGGATAAGGCAATATGCGGTTTAGTGCACAAATGTCCCTTCTCCCGTGACAGTCCAGCTGCTTACTCAGGAAGGCGGACAAGCTGTGCACCTTTCTGCCGGAGAACGCCCTCTCCAGCTCAGCTGTCAACTTAGCGCTGGCGTCCTTCTCCCGGCCTTGCAGTGCTTTTTTGAACAATTCTTCTACGAATTCTTTATCTGTCAAAAAGAAAGAAGAGGCCACTTTTGGTAAGGAAGGACTCATGGGACAGCTTTTCGTCAGCCAACGGCCACCCAGCCCAGTGAAAACACTGGGAGCCAGCAGATATTTGAGTGCTGTCTGGAGGGGAGACCACGTGAACCTGGGATTGTCGACAGAGCAAAGGGGAAAAGGCATCTTCTTCTTTTATAATTAATTTTTCTAGTTTTTTTTTAAAAAGGTTTTATTTATTTATTTTTAGAGAGGGAAGGGAGGGAGAAAGAGAGAGAGAGAGAAACATCAATGTGCAGTTGCTGGGGGTTATGGCCTACAACCCAGGCATGTGCCCTGACTGGAAATCGAACCTGTGACACTTTGGTTCGCAGCCCGCGCTCAGTGCACTGAGCTACGCCAGCCAGGTCCGGAAAAGGCATCTTCTTGAACGGGTGGTTTTTCACCCAGAGCATCCCACAGTGTGCACTGTAGTAACTTGATTGAGGAAGGATCCATTGGTTCCCCAAGGGCCAATTGCACGGGACTGAAGAAAACCTGAGGCTGCAGGATTGTATTCGGTTCGACTCCCGGTGGGTCTGCTGCGACTCCCCACACTCGTGGGCCCCACCTGCCCCGCTTGGACGTGGAGGGAGCGTGAGGCTTCCTCCCTGCACCTCTTCGGAGTGCTCGTGCTCTTGCTATCACCACAGATGACCACGCCCAACACCCACGGCGAACAGGCCTGCATCTGGACACGCCCTTCCCCATTTGCCCACTGATGCCTTAGCGTGGTCCCTATCCCAGCCCCCATAACAGAAGACTCTATACAGAACAAACCACCATGACCACACGCGCTGTTTGCTTAAATTCAGGCAGGCCTCTGGGGCGTAGGTTGAGATCCGGCAGGTCGTGCACCAATGTGGAACGATCGATAAATCCATGCCATCATGCTTGGGGTCCTCAGGACAGAAGGGAAAAGGTGACGTTTGCCAGCGGCCTACTCTTTCATTTCAGTCGTTGTTTATATTTTCAGCTTTACTTGGGGAACCGTCTAAAGCTTCTGTCTGCGTGAAGGTCGAGGGTGCAATTGTGCAGCTGGGTTTCGTTTCTGGAAGAATTAAAAGTACCGCTGCTGGTGGTGAGGGTCAAAAACGGGAGGAAGGGTCCTGAGAAAGGAGAGACTCGGGGGGCTTGCGGAGAGCCCCCTACCTGGATGATAGGCCTCCACGCTTTCCAGTCTTGTTTTCACACACCTGCCGAAGGAGATGAAAATGCCTGTTCTGCCCACCTTTGGGGTAGAAGGGGGTAACAGCATGGGTCAAAACATTGTTTTGAAAACTAAGCAACGCTATCTTTATGTGACTATCACCGTGTGATTACTTATGACACGCTCCAGATCACTGTCAGAAAGCTGTATTCAAGCTACCGGGGCATGAAAGCACATTCTGGAAGTTACCCTGTGGGTGCCAATCAGCCTACTATGTAGAAAAATACTTAGAAGCACCTGAGTGTTTGTTGGGTAGAAAACCTTGAGCTTCAGAGCAAGCTCAGAGGTGGACCGTGGAAGAAGACAGGAGCCCTCCCACCCGCCGGAAGGGCCTGGGAGCAGCTTCCGGGGAAGGGACCAGGAATCCTCAGGGTGTAAATAGAACTTGCACACAACAGCATCATTGGTGCTGTTTTTATAAAACTGCAGAAACAAATGAAATAAACATGTATCTCTACCTGTCCTAGGAGGCAAAGGGCAATCGACACTAATGCTTACAAAACCGGTGCACAATCTGTGACACACGAACGGACAAGTTCTCACTTGGGAGGGAAGCGCGGAGCAGAGAGCGCAGCACACACCAGGCGGCCACTACTGTGCATTCCCGTCCCCCTTCCACTCCTTTCTCCCCTTCCTTAATCTGACTTACAGGGTTCTTAGAAATGTAGGGGGTTGAGCTCTGAATGAACGAATAAAGACAATGCAGTTCCACTATTTGTTTAAAGATTTACCATCCTCGATTGAAAATGGAAATGAAAACGTCAGTAAAATTAAAAGCACGGGGTGATTCAGACTCACCACAATGTGTGTGTGAGAGACATTCAGAGTCTCAATACAAGCTGACTGTCTGGCCGGCAGCCTCAATATTACTGTTAAATTGGCAGAAGCAGCAGGCCAAAGGGCTAAGTAAGATCCTATAAATGGAAACAGAATTAAATTAGCGGCAAGGAGTTAGGTGTGGAGGTCGAGGAGGTAGGCCCTGGCTCCACCGGATGTGCAGAAGAGTCGTTGGGGCACATCGCCGGGGCCGTTTCATAGGGGTCCGGGCGCATGTTGCTCCTGAACAGTGGAAATAAACAGAGGGTGGAAGTGCCCTCCAGAAGGGCAAGAATGGCCGTGGGTGCAGCTTGCCTAGACTGGAGGGGACAGGGGATAGAGCTGGGTGACAGGGATCTGTAGTTTAATTCCGAAGTGTTTCCATCTCCCAACCTGAAAGTCTCACTTTGGGTTGAGAGTGCACAGAAACAGGAAGACTTCTTTTTTTTTTTTTTAAGAAATTTTCTTTTTTTTTTTTAAAGTTTTAATTTCTTTTTAGATTTTATTTATTTATTTTTTAGAGAGAGGGGAAGGGAAGGAGAAAGAGAAGGAGAGAAACATTAATGTGTGGTTGCTTCTCACACGCTCCCCACTGGGGACCTGGCCCACAACCCAGGCATGTGCGGTGACTGGGAATTGAACCAGCGACCCTTTGGTTTGCAGGCCGCCACTCAGTCCACTGAGCCACACCAGCCAGGGCTAGGGAAGACTTCTAGGAGGACTCTGGATAACTCCCCAACTCATGGAGTCCCTTTTTCAATTCCTCATTGTGAGTAGTAAATATATTAGAAATTACTCTGGGCATAACAAACATTATATGGTTAAATAATTACAGATTGCATTGGCCAAATCTGGGGAATTCGAACATTCAAAAGAATGATGCTAATAAGGCATACCATGATTAACTTAAAGGAGAGCCCATGAGTTCATGATGATACCCAAAAAGAAAAAGAGGGGGAGCTATTATTAAAAGAATAAATTGGTCATTACATAACAACGAATGTAGTAATAGATTGAGACAAGGATTATCACTGAGGCACAGTTGGATAAAAAACTGAGAGTAGAATCTTCACTGATCCCAAAGCATCATCCCAAAGATTATTTATTAATTACCCAGGGAAAAATGACTTTACAATGGAAAGATACGGAAGACACCACCTTCACCAAGTGACCAAACTCAGCATTATGGGTCACTTAAAACGGCGAAGCAGGGAGAATACCTCACCTACGTAGTATTCTTGCTAAACAGTTTACCTTGAAGCCAATCATGAGCAAACAGACAAGTCCAGGCGGTGGGACAGTTTACAGGACAACCCTCTTAGACACACCAAAAACGCCACTGTCATAAAATACCAAAAAAAAAAAAAGAAGAAAGAAAATGTTTTAGACTAAAGGAAACAAAGATAGGACATGTGATGCCAGATCCTTCATTGGATCCTGGATTAAAACAAAACAGATTTAAAGAATATTATTGGCAGCCCCCACCCTTGCAAAAAAAAAAAAAAAGAATATTACTTGCTTTTGGCCAAGATGGAGTAACCAGAGCCAATTTAACCTCCTGTTTGAAAACAATTTAAAAACCAAACAAAATATATGTAACAACAGTTTTCAAGAACTTGGACCTCAGGCAATGAAGGACAGGGATCCCCAAGAGGCAGGAAATGAAAGAAGCGAGCCCTGTGGTTAGCTGACTGCTGAGATTTCGGGTCACGATGCAGAGGAGAAAGACCCCACAAAAAGACTGGTGAACTTCCTACGAAAGCGGATATGAGAGTTGGGGGAACCAAGGAGACTCAAATTGACAAAGCAGAATTCTAGCGGGGAAAGGGCTGAACAGACAAGGACTCTGGGGACACGCACAGGGGTCTCTTGAGTACTGAACACAGTGCTGGCCAGTGCACGTGCATGAAGAATTGCTTGAGGCCTGGAAGAGAACCACCTGTCACACCCCACCTGTCTCACTGCCACCCTTCCCCTCATCATCCAGGACCACACGTCACAGGGCCACATGCAACCTCTCTTTTTCCTGTACACCCCACCCCCCAGCTCCAGGCAACTACCGAGTCTCGTAAGTTCTTCCTTCACGGTGTTTCCAGGATTTTCTTTCTACTCCCCCACAACCACTCGGACTTGGTGCCTTTTCATTTTACTCCTCGGTTTTGCTAGGACATTCGATTTGGTCTTCCTGAATCAAGCTTTTCCTCTAGATCGCTCTACGCAGGGAGTCTAAAACAATCCTCTTATTTTAATCATCTGTCTCTCTCTCACCTGAAAGCTCCAGGGGCTCTCCCTATCTCAGTGGGGCTTTAAGCCCCTATGGCTGACAGCCATGGTTTCTCAGGAGCGCAGTTCTGAAAAACTGCTTCCTAAACCAATTCTTTACAGCCAGGCTGGTCTGTTAAATCCTGGTCATTCCCACGGTCATGGCTTTGCCTACACTGTACTCGCTGTTTTTCCCCTAACAAATCACAGCCACCCTTTAAGTCCCAGCTGAATATCCTCATGGATAATCTAGTTTACCCATGAGGCTTCCCGACGTCCACATCATCCCAGTGACTGCAGGTTCTGCTGGATTCTATAGCATCCTTGGCCTGTGACTCTTTTAGTGCTTACCGTATTTTGTTCTGTATAATGCGCCCCAACGTTTTTGCCCAAACTTCCACAAAAAAAGTCTTTTGTTTTAATTTTTAATTCAACTGTTTATTTACTGATGTCTAGAAACAACACTGGTCATCGTATTCCAGGGTATTATTTTGCATACAAATATCGTTATTGCTTTCTAGAGTTGCACTTTGAACGCATAAGCATAAATAAAAGAATTAAAAAGTCTATATAGATATGGAATTAGCATGACCCATGTATAATGTGTATCCTTATTTTTCCATCAGAAATTTGGGCAAAAAAGTGAGCATTATACACAGCAACATACGGTAATTAGATATCACCTCCCTTTTGTGCATATTTTGTTTCTTCCCATCTATCGTCGTCACGTACTGTGGACAGTGTCACACATCTGTGGCTCCCACGGTTACTTAGGCACAACATGGGTGACATAGACAGAAAGCCAGGGGGCACGATGAGCTCTGCACGTAACTGAGGAATCAAGTAATGATGGCAGGTGACACACATGCATACATGCTGGGCGCTGGTGTGAGTACTGTATGTACATTAGCTCATGTAACCCCCACCCCGGTCCTCTGGGGGAGTAACCACCACGGTCTCCATTTTACAGATGAGGAAACTGAGTCCCAGCGCTGACCCATGGCCTACCAGGGTGCGAGCCCAGTCACTCGGCTCCAGAGTCTCTACTCCTAGCCACTTTGTCGTGTCACCACCAACAGGATGGGGAGAGGGCCGCGTCCCTGTGGAGAGGACGGAGCAACAGTGGGAGGAGAGTTGAGGGAGGGAATGAAATTCCCTCCAGTGGAATGATGGGGCTGAAAACACGGATATGGGAAAACAATGTGGGCAATTACGAGCGAGAGACTGGTGAGGGCGCCAGCGAGAGTAAGAAGACAGAAGACAAGGAATGGGTGACAAACCGAAGATGACGCCCAGGGAGACCCCCGGAGCGGAGGCCGCCATTGTCAAGCAGGATGCAAAGAGCCAACGAAAAAAGGCGATTCTTACAACACGGTGAAGGCGCCGTGGTAGGAGGCGGCTCGGGCACAGGCACTCCGCGGAGCCTCTGCCGTGAGCCCAGGCCGCACGCGACAGCGTCTCATCATTGCAGGCGGAGCCCTCGTAGGCTCATGGCGGGTTCTCTTCGGTCGCTGGAGGGCCCATCTTGGACGACTCGGCCTGCTGGGGGCTGATCGCTGCTTCCAGGTCCGATGGTTGTTGCACGGCAACTTCAGTCCAGGCTGGCTGCGGAGCCCAGCAGGCTCTGGGCGTGGAAGCGTCAGCTGGGGGCGCTGTGGAGGAGCTGGGTCTGCTGCAGGGCTGCAGTGCCAGCCCCTGCGGCAGGCTGAGCTGGGGTCTCCTGCTGGGGTGGAGAGGATTCTATCTCCTCAAGGGGCTGCGGAAGGAACCCCCGTTGGGTGGCGAGGACGGCCTGAGATGTCCCAGCCGATACAGGTGTTTGCGTCTCCCCTGAGGGCTCTGCGGCCCTTCAGGCCCCGGCTCCCCATCTGTAACATTCACGGGAGGTGCCACTGAACGCCGAGCTTCCGCCAAACCCAGAGGGGAGACGGTCCCCTCACGGTGCCCTGAAGGTTGAGCTTCAACATCCACGGGGGATTCTGGAGGCTGAGTTGGACCTCTGCTGGAGCGGAGAAGGTTCCACATCCGCGAGAGGCACTTGAGGCAGAGCTGAGCTCCCCTGCTGGGTTGAAGATTCAGCATTTTTACAGGGGGCTGGATGACCACTGGGACCTCCTCGGTGGACTAACAAAGATTTCAATGGCTCACAAGGCATTGTAGACGGAGCTGAGGCCTCTTGTTGGGGTGGAAGCTGAGCTGAAGCCTCCTCCTGGGCTGAAGGGGCTTCTGCTTGCTGCGCTGGGGCCCCCTGAGGGGTTAGAGAAGGTCCCACTTCCTCAGGGGCCCATGGGTGGGCCGAGCTGAGCCCTCTTGTTGGAGTGACGCGGGGGGTGGGGGGGGGCGGAGGTATTTGAAGGTTCCGGTGGGGGGTTGCTGATTCAAAAGCCAGGGCTCCGTTGGCCCCACGGGGGTGATGGAGGTGAGCAGGACCGGGTCCAGGGCCAACTCCAGAGGCTCAGCTGCCTGGGCCCGCAACCACAGCAACTGCCATGTGAACAGGAGCTGTGGGGCCCCGAGGTGCAGCGGGGCCCCGAGGTGCAGCCGAGACACGGCAGGAAGAGGTTTGGGGCACAGCGAGTCACCCAGGCGAGTGGTGTGCATGTACCACATGCTGAGCGGGAGCAGAACCATTGGCAACCCAGCCATGCATGCACCCCCAGCAACCCAGCACCACCCCCCGCCCCGCCTCAGGCTCCAACCTTTATTTAGGCAACTTTTATTTGTCTTGGGCCGAAAGCAACTGCAGAAAAGGGGGCCTGTCCTCCAGAATCTTCAGGGACCCAGTGGTCCTTTTCCTCCTGCAGAGGGGACAACTACCTTCTGCTGGGCCTCCCCTCCCCACCTCACAGTGAGGCAGGATTCAGGCTGCACGCTGGGGTGGTCCCAGGCTCCGGCAGCCTAGGGATGCTGGGGAGTGGATTAAAGGAGGCTGGAGTTGGGGGGCTGTAGAGCTGTCCAAGGAAGCCACAGGGCCTGCCGTCCCGGGAGACCTGCTCATCCAGTTCTGGTGATCTGCACTCCTCTTCAAAGCTGAAGTCTGAGAGATGTTCTTCCTCCTCTTGGCCCTACTGCTTCCTACTTTCCGAGGAAAGCAGCTGACCTACCAAGTGAATGCCAGCAGGGTGGTGGCGGGGGGAGGGGGACGCACTCTACAGTTCTGCAGTGTTGCCATTCCCTCCGTGTTCTCGGGATCCATGTCTGACTCTTCATTCGCTACTCGACGAGACAGAGCTACCCCCGGATCAGTAATGACTCCCAGATTTCTGTAGATGGGGTTTGGACGGCGAGCGATTCATTCTGGGCGAGAGGGTCTGAAACCGAGTGCTGATGGGAGAAAGCGTCTCCCCCCCCAATTTCGGCTCAGCGCAGCCATTGATCTAGGAGGGTAACAGCGGCACTTGTCCGAGGGCTACCCTGGGCGTGCACATGGAGAAGACACTTACGGTGTTAAAGCCGCACGTTAAGTAATTTTCTCGAAATGCTGTAACCAGCACCCAATTTGCTTCCTTCGCAGCTTTTTTTTTCCATTCTGTTTTATTTCACTCCTGTTTATCATCTGGCACAGCCCCCAGGAGGTAAACTCCACGAGAGAGAAGGGGCTGCATCGTATTTCCAGTGTCTAGCCCATAGTGACGGTTTCTAAATGGAACTGATTCCAAGACTGGGCTCATACGAGCGGTGGGTCTCTTGTTACATTCGGGTTTCTGAAATCCTCGGCGTCAACACCCAGCCCCTTCCTCACAGAGTTCACGGGAAGCCAGACTTCGCGCAGCCCAGGACAGCGGCAGACCTTCTGCCCTCTGTGGTCATCCGAGGCTCCCAAGGTCAAGATTGCAGCTAGTGTTCTCAGAAGTCCCATGCAAGTGAAGTGCGAGAACCATTCTATTTCAACTAGGATTTAAAATGTTAAAGCTAGCAAGTGCTGGATTTCAAGGTGCTGTCCGAACTTTCCCAAGTGCCTGCTCAAAATGGATGTTCTATACAATCCTTCTCAAGGTATTGGCAAAGTAGGTCATAAACCTATAGGCTGAACTATCTTTGAATTTTAACAATAAAAATAAATAAAAGCCTCATTCCGCCAAATACCTCTCGCCTAAGCAAAACTAGATGATTTCAGTTTTGTACCATAGTAACAAGTTGCCATCCCCTACGTGGAGGTAAGGTACTCACATGTCATTTAAATGTTTTCTCCATAAAAGGAAAACACTCAGCCTCCAGGGAATAAATCTTTTAAAATCTATAATTTTAGAAAATTATGCTAATAACAGCAACCACTGTCTTCGCACCATCCACATTTATATTTACCTGCAAAATACTCAGCAGGAACTTAATATCAGCACCGAAGCCAACATTCTAGTCTACAAAAATCAGTCTAAATTACCAGTAAAGTCTGTTTCACATTTAGCCTCGACAGCACAGCAGGATTCAAACCCACCAATCACTGTGTGCTTTGGGGAGAATGTCTTAAACCAGCCCTAGAATGTTCTACTTCCAAATAACACACACACACACGCATGTGATTAGCCCGATACCCTTCTCCCCGGCCTTTACTGTCTGGAAGCGCAGACAAAACCATGAATGAAAACAGTGCTTAGGCTACACAGCCCACCATCATGCGCTGCTACTCATTCTGGGCAAGGGGACTTGTGCTAAAAGTTTAGAACACAAAAGGTACTGTCCCTGTTGCCATAATCTTGCGAAATAACGTTTCAAAAAGTAAAGCATCTAACAAGTTAACACCCTATCCAATCAGGAAAGGGAAATGCCTGGCAAGCGATACGAAACGGCAGCTCAAAACACACCGACTGCTGCTAAAACCAGTCACCGGTCGCACTGCGTGCCAGAGTCTAATCGGGCTGGTTTGAGTCCCCCACACGCAAAACGCTTAGTTATGGAACCCCCTGAAGAATGATCAAAACTTCGTCCCTTCCTAGTCCTCCCCTATGCACAATCAGTACCTAACCGATCTCTGATGAGCGCCTGCGTCTGCCGTCTGCCAGACACTAGGCCAGGAAATGACGGGGATACAAGATTAACAGAGAGATACAGAACCCTTAATTTCGGATAAATGTAGGACAAGTATACACAAGGCAGACTGTCATTAGGAAAAACACGATGTCACATAAGTATGCAAATAATCCAGTTTTTCTTAAAGGAAACCCAACCACAACTTGTAATTTAACTCAGCACACACACTGCGATCAGTCCCGGGTATGATTCGCTAGGTCTTCAAAGAGGATTAACGTTCGTTGAACTGCCCCACCAAAACCGCCATGGGGTAGGGTCATTCCGTCTCTGCGGGTCTTTCGATTCTGGTGTCTCAGTCGAGAGGACCACACGTGATTTCTTACAGTAAAAACTGTCACTATGAAAGATATACTGAAACCAAGTTGGCAAGAGGTGGCAAAGTCCTCTCTCCATACAAAACATGAAACTTGGTGACTCACTCCCTTCGTTCTCCAGCCAGCAACTCCCTTCCCGCCCCCGCAAAAGGCAGGTTTTTTTACCTTTGGGCAAAAGAAGTTACTCTTTCTATTCCCAGTCTGGATGCTCTAAATGGGATTACACCTGGTTTGTTTCTTCACTTCTCCAGTAAGTATTCAAGCATTTTAAAAAACAGAAACATTTACATTTATTTAACCACTTCTATTGCCCTCATCTCCTTAAAAAAAAAAGTGACACACCTTACTTTTTAAAGATCCTATTTCCTCATAAACTTTACTTGGTAAATGCTCTTAAAACTGGATTCGAATTGAGTCAATCCAGATGAACAAACATACACATAAAAAATCTTGTAGGTTATTGCTACAAGTCATGCTTTTTTTTTTTTTTTACAATTTAGTAACATGCAACTACGTATTTAATACAAAGCAGCAATTGTGCAGTTAAAAAAAAATTCATCTCAGCACCAGCCTAGAGAAACTTTCCCTGAGAAAACTGGAGAGGAGTCTCCATGGAGAAATTCACTACAGATGCAAGAAGGACTTTTATCCTTCCCAAGGGGATAAAAAGAAAAAATCATTTTCTAACAAGTCCCTGTAGACTCTTGCTGTGTGATTTAGAAGTTGATCCCAAAGTTCACCCTCGGCAACTGTGTCTGCACGATCAACTTTGTACATCGCCTGCAGCAGGAGACTCGAAACCGCGTTTAGTAAAACCCGTGTCCCTACAATGTCTTACTTTGATTTTGAATTTTACCAAAATGACTTTGAGTCGGGTGAATTACCACGTTTGCTTTGGTTTTGTCTGGTTTTCTACGTTGCTTTTTAATCAGCCATTCACCAGCAACTGCTGCAGGAGCCCATTGGCACGCAAGGATAAAG